CTCAGTTGTTGTGGCACCCATGAACACTGTGTGGGTAGATGTCCCCCAACATGGGTTTTTGATCAGAGCTCCCTTATCCTAGGAGGGTTGCCTCCCATGGCTAATGAGCCCCACCTGCCCTGGTTGAGATCAGAGTTTTCCTTCACCTAGATGGGCTGCCTTCCATGGCTACCAGGCCCCACAAGCTTTGAGCAATCTGGTTTTAAAGCGCCAGAAACTCGTCTTTCACACCTCTGCCTTTGGTTATACGTGGGGGTCAGCGCGAGAAGCCAGGTGGTAGGAGTTTGATTTATAAGATAGGCTGTTGGAGATGCAGGTCACAAGGGATATTCATAGGTATAGGAGTTGCTCATATCAGTTCTCTTAAACATCCTGACCATCCTACATGTAACTCTTTGACCCCTGGTCAGACAGTCTAGTCTAAAGTGATAATCAAAGGACAGTCGCATTGGCCGCTGATTTAGGTCTCTCGTCAACAAAAAGTCAGCTGACTGTTAGCGAATGTTCGCTGAATTCTGGCGTTGCTAAGGACCAGCAGTTCGTGAATGTTCGCTGATGATGTTTACTCAGGCCTGACCAAGTTAATGAGGCGATCTCCCCTCGTGTGCGTTTGTTATTTTAATTCACCTAATGAATAATGCATCCCTTCGGATGTGCATTTAAATATCCGCGAAGTCAGCTTGCTGTTTCTCCCAATACATTGTACCCTGATCATTTTGAAGGGGGGGGGGGGGGGCCGGATCAGCCAGTGGCATGTCCAGCCTTTGTGTTGGGGGAGGGGTTCGCAAAATAGGAAATATTTTGAAAAGGTAACTCAAAGTTGACTCCGAAAAGATTACCTCAATTCTGTTCATCCAGGGAGTGGACTGTGCTTTTGATTCCTCCAACTCCTCCCCCCCCCCAAAAAAAATGCAAAATACACAAGCCCCCCCAGCCCCCCCCCCCCCCCCCCCCCCCCCCCCCCCCCCCCCCGGCTGGATACACCACTGGTTTGAGCTCTCAACAATCCCCACCATGCCCACCCCAGTCACACCCCCACTGCTCTAGAATTACTGCAGTGTTCCAACATGTTGAAATAGAAGCTTCTCGATGATAAATAGGTCACATGCCATAAACTACAAGATTGAGAGTGTCCACTTAGACTTGGTGTCAAGTTGGTAATTGTTTTCTGTACAGTACCGGTTACTGGCTCCATGCATGCACCGCTGCAATGCACCGCTGCAATGCGCATTGTCTGGTTACCAGACCAAAAGATGCTGACTATTGATGTTCTTTGATTGACTTGGCGAATACGTTTTCAATTTTGTACACAACATATGAGTATTTTGAATCGCTAGCGAATTCTATGCGATCGTTCTCATTACTTCGAGGGTTTGTACTTTGTGTTGTGTAACATTACAAAATTCATTATAGGGCATACACGACTCAAATAAATCAAGTATATCACAATTGTACATTTTATTTCTATACGCAATTGACCAAGCTGAGTGAATTGGTCATTAAAACGTCGCCAGATCTGCAAACATGTCCCTGACGTATTGAGAAGAACTCCCCATGTAACAGAATGAATGAGTCCTCTTTTGCATAGCGGTGCGCCATTGGATCTCACCACAAACATGCACTGCATAGTATTGTGCTGCTTGCATTATAAATAACGGTGCAAGAACAGAATCGTCAAGTCGTTAGATATGTCGCAACCCGGCTGATTACGTACTAGTCTTACACCAGCCGCGCCAATGGAGTTCGACTGAAGTTCACGGACAAATACGACTATCTAATGACTTGTCATCAAGTCTAGTGTCCACTGGGCCTTCTTGTGGAAGACCCTTTGGGTAAAGAGATTTTGCATCTCAAACTTTCTTCAAAAAAAATACCAAACATTGCTATAATGTACCTTTGTATTTTTTATTATTATATTAATTCATGTCTTTTATTCATTTATCATAAATCAACAACAACCAAAAGACATGGAGGAAACCTAGAACATCATGAATCAAAAGAAACAGTCTAAATGTCAATGAAGCAAGGAACTAGAAATTAATGTAGAAGTAAGAGGAAAAAAATGGTCTGCAGAATTGACAAATTAAATAATATTAAATACTAATTATTTAGATTTAGATTTGAAGGTTACGTGTGACATTTCATCATCGTCCACCTTTGGCATTGATTGTTCTGGAACAAGTCATCTGGTGTGCGACCTGATCTGATGAACCATGCAACGGCGACCGCAGTTAGGAGACAAACAGCAAAGACTGTGTACTTCATGTGGTTGTTGGCCACGAAGTTCAAAAGATCGTGTTTCCAGTACCTGATCATTTGTCCTCCATCTTTTTTGAGGACTGCCTTTTCCCTGATGTGGTGGTTTAATCCATGCCAAAGAAGACTCTTACTGTACTGGAAGATGTTATGGATGATTCGATATGGTGACTCCCTGACTTTCTTCACGAGTAGACTTCACTTTTGGGTGGACATGAAAAACGTTTGCGAAAACAACAACACATTTAGCGAATAATTTGTGTAAACAGTTATCCAAGGGCAAACAAATTGCAGGTAACAACGTTATGACATATTCTAATGGCAGATTTTGCAGAAGCGCTTCAGAACAGTATGTTTATGAGAATCATATTGTTTATTGTACTGACCTAAAGAAGTTACACCTGCTTATGCCACTCTTGGGCAGCCCGTTGAAGACCCTCTAGCCGTGACCATGATTCTCCTGCACACACAGTGGCGACAGCAAGTTGTGCATCGTTCACTCTTTACGTGGTAAGGCCATCACCCCATAAAACTGTTTTCTTGGGTCGTCCAGCCAGATTACAAAAAAAAAACACTTCTGAAACTCACAAAGAATATGTACCATTTTGGAAGTCTGTGTTTCTTCTTTGTTGATAACTCCCAAAGGAACCTGCCGAGAAGAAACTGAGGTGTAACCGTGTAAGTGACTTGTACCGTATCTGATTTCGAAAGATAAAACAAACTCTCAAAGAAAATATATTTTAAAAACATAAACAAGAGTTCATACATACATACTACATGTATCATGCTTTTCTTTGATGATTCTTCACTATACTTGTGCGGTTTGGACTGGACCTTGTTTTGGAGCGACTCAAGCTGTTGGATGTTTTGACATAAATTTGCTCCATTGCTTCCTTAAGTACTGTCAGTTTGCAAATGTAAATCTATTTAAATAAAAACTACATAAAGAATAACTTTTTAAAAAAAATGGTACTGTTCATGTCAAAGACAAGCGCCTCACTCGTCCGGCCGGCTGTTTGCAGTCAAAAGTGATGCGCAAGTTTAAATTTGTGTGTGCAGTGTGCAACATGAAATTGAGGGCGCGTGCAATGTGAAACTTGCGCAAAGCATCCAAATTGCACACAACATGAGAGCATGAGTTTGTTGTGACTATTCGGAATGATTTTGTTACGCTCAATAAATCAGCACAGCCAGCACGGTGTTCTGATTGTGATGCATGATTTTTCGCATGGCGCCCTGTAGTGGGAGTGTACGCGTGCATTCCCTGCACAGTGACATCGTTTGTGCCAGCGCATTCCTATGATTCAGCCCGATATTGGGTGAATGGTGTCATTTTTCCATTAATTAGGCCCTATCATTATTAAAGGCTTGTACATTAATTCAGTGCAGGCAGTACGCCAGCCACACAGCCCAGAAATCCACACAAATGAGTTGACTTGGGGCTGAGTTGACCAAGTTAAAGGGAATATACAACATTTGCAAACATCGAAAAATAAAACTACCAAGTTTTTGCGAAATACCTTAATAGGATGTTGGTAAATGACAGTCTAAAGCATCCTGTAAAATTATGGCACCTGGTATACTGTCATTTTCAAGAAAAGTTGTATTTTTGTATCAATTTCCAACGCTGATCGGCCGATCAGCGTTGGAAACAACTGGCTTTTTTTCAAATACTGGCCCCATTTGACCATTGCACTTGTTTGCAATCGATTACAAACCCATGAACGGGTACGAGCCAGCTAGACTGGTTCCCTGACCTTACAATTCCCCAATGTATGTTAACTGCTCTGTTTCTTCTTATATGGAGTCAGGGAACCAGACTACAGGAAAATGATCGTTTTTCTTGGTTTTAGTAGCATTTTCAAACCCAAAACCTCCAAAAAGTCAGTGTAACTATATTTGCTTTATATTTCCAACCCCCCAATTCCATCCATATCTGAAAATTACAGCAAAAGCAAATGATGTATATTCCCTTTAATAGCGGTGTTTCACATCATTGATTTCTGAGTTCTGAGATACAAATTACAAGCAATATTTGACAATTAAACTTTAATACGAAAAGTGCTCAACTGATCCTTCAGGTTCAGTTTGGTTCAGTTCAGTTGCGGTTTGGATTTACTTTTTCTCCGAACATCAGTTCGGGTTTGGAAATATGTACATATACAATGTACATTGAAAAGCATATATAAAAGTTGCCAGATCATGCGGTAAGTCGGCTTTTATAAGTTGCCATTTCGCTGAAGTCGGTGTGTTACTGTTGGTCCCCTACAAAAAGCACAAGAAGATTATTTTATGAATAGCATTATTTTTTTATGAATTTCTAGGGGGGGGGGGGAATTCTGACAGACCTTCGGGGGGTTGACACCCCCCTCCCCCTGGATATGCACCTGATGTACACTTTGATATCAGAGCTTTCTTTTTGCCCTTCAAGTGGCAAAAAAAACGGTTCAAGAGAGTGAATAAACTTTAGGCCTACACAAGTGGTGTAGTGCATGCATTGCTTGTGCTTCTAATGCCTCACTCTTCTGATGCAAGCTTGCAACAAATTTGAATTCAGCTTATTGCTCTGTGAAGTATGAGTGCAGTATACACATACCGGTAACAAATATAACTGAGCAACAGGTTTATAGACTTTTAGAAATTGCAAAAAAAGGTTGCAACAAAGTTTACCTTTCTGTCAATTATCTTTAATTTATACAATGTAGTTATCCTAATTGCTGCTTGTTGTTCGTTTATCTTTACAGTCAACAGTCGGCAATGAAATATTAGTCTTCACAAGTGAATTTCAACTACCATCAACATGCAGAAACCCAGTAAGACTTCCTCAGAGCATGATACAAGAGAGGCAGACCCTGAGAAGGAGAAAAGAGTAACTCTAATATCAATTAAGACTGGACAGGCAATGACAATTCCTAACACAGACAGAGTAGGTATCAACATCAATATTCTAAAGTATATTATGAATGAAAGACCATTTGTGTTGTAAGAAGTGTCAATTGTTCTTCAAATAGTTGTGTAAATATTATGTGTCACCACGTGTGTATATATTATTAGTATACCAATACACTTCTCCACGCTGCATGCAATGCACTGTACTGTGCATGTAAAGTACACGCACTTGGCATGCATCAGGCAGCGTGGCCCAAGTGATGGAAGCATGCTACGGTAGTAACCTCGCAAGTAAACTCCCAGAAAGACTGACAAAACTGCAACAATTTGATTAATCTGTAACAAAAGCATGTGGTTTTCAATGTAATTTGGCCCATATACATGTACATGTGTATTTACCAATGTTGTCAAAAGAACTAGGCATCATGACTGGAATCCAACTAGCATTGAAATACACATGTACATGAAATTGTCTCGAATTTGAGAGTCGACATTTGGACCTCCTTTTCTTCAAAGTACCGGTATGGTTGTGACTGGTATGGTTGTGTGGACATTTATATTCTACTTTGAAATGCCCTTTTAAGTAATATAATTATGCTATTGTTTGGCAACCCAATTTCGTGCTTTCCAGCACGCTGTGTCAAAACTGAAGCTATTTTTCAATTTGTTTTTTTTAATCAGCTTGGTTTATGCCGAAGTGTGTCTGAGTTTGAAAAGTTGAATAGGATTGGAGAAGGCACATATGGAATTGTGTGTAAGTATACTTACATGTACATTGGTGTTTTGATTTTAACCCTAACCTCACCTAAAGCTACAACATACTTATAGTAGTAAAATGTAGTATGCAGTACTTCAGCATATAAATGGGCAAAGCACTCATAGTATTTATTATATAACCAACATACATATCCTTGTCATTTGATTGGTGGAACTCCATCACGTGACATTCGTTATTACTCCCATTCTAGCCGGGTCTCAAAAAGTACTATCCGCCCATGGGGAATGGGAAATACTGTTGAACAGTTAGGATCATTCTTGTTCCAAGACGCGGTATTTGGGTGCAAAGGCATGCTGGTGTGCGTGTTCAGCGTTGCGCGTAGCGCGTATTGTTCCAAAGAGCCAGCACTACAGAGTGGGGTTCAAAGATTTTCGTGAAGGGGTGGTTTGGAAGAGAGAAATACATTTCCCATCAATTTGTATTGAAGTAAAAGTTCAAATATATCAAATGACAAGGATCTATATGTCAGTTATATAAAACTAATATTGAGTGGCTTTAAATTGTGAAATGGGAGGAATAGTATCGCTCGGTGATGGTCCTTGCGATAATATTCCTCCCATTTCACTCTGAGCCATTCAATATTTGTATACTAGTATTTGGTACCTGCATATATAATGTTTGTAGTACGTTGTAGTATGTGGTTTGTTACCCCAAATGAACTCATTGGGGGTAAGGGTTAAGGGCTGCTTTTGACGTTCACAAACTATTGTTTAAAGTTTTAAGTTTTAACCATAAAAAGGCCCGGGGGGGGGGGCCTTTTCTTTTGTTTTCCTCACTGTTGTTACCTTTCATGACTTTTTAGCTTGAAGTTTGGTGCACGGTTTGGATCAAATTATAAAAATTGACCTTAGCATCACCGTGCTGCTCTTGACATTAGTTGAGGCAGGGTACCACAGCAATTGCATTTCCCCATGTCAGTGTTGTTTGCAAGTCCATCACAAGTCTTTCAGTCTCAAGTCAGGTCACTACATGTAGCTGTTCACATGAACTGTGACAAGGCATTCATATATCACTGTTTATCCAGTTACTTTGGATTGGACTTATGAAAGCTTAGGAACTGTTCAACGACTTGTGATGGACTTGAATACAACACTGTCCCGTACAATCCCACTGAATACATGGATAGTACAGCTTGTGGTGGTAACAGTGTGCTATAAACTTGCAACTTCAGTTATTAACCCTAACCCGCTAGGGCCTTTTTGCTAGGAACCATCCTCAATCCTCCAAAACCCTCCAAAATTTTGCACTTATATTCAATACAGTCCTGCCTGTAAAATGCATTCATCCTCAATTCTCCAAAATAATCCTCTTCTTGAAACAACCGAATTCATCCTCAGTCCAAAGTTCTCCATGTCACAATTAGGATTATTGAGGGAGGTTTAGGGTTGTGTTCTTATTCCTCCATGGGTTAATTAACACTTCATTGGTCTAATGAAATCTAATTCTGGAAATTTAGTTGGTTAACATGTGTGCCAAATTTTATTCCATTTTGTCAACTTGACAGATGTCAACTTTTCAACTGTTGCATTTATTCACAGGACAGTGACAAAAGACAAACCCAAAAGATATACATTCTGTATAAGTACATTACAAAGTACATAAGTCATACAGGTAAGAAAAATGTCCCTTTTGATAGGTGACCCTTCCCCCAGGCGTCAATTGTGTCTCAAAAGTGGGGGGGGGGGGACACAACATGATCAGCACTAATGCCAGCGCGAAGCCCGTGGGGTCCAGGGCCCGCTTAAGGGCCCAGATATTTTTTTGGATTGTAGATGCTCTGTGGTGCGATCTGAGGCAATTTTTGACCACTTAGACCAATTTTTGTGAGCAAAAGATCATTTTAAACAAAAAGATCATTTTAGATCTTTTAAACATTATTTTCGAGTTTGGAGTCATTGAATCGGCTTATGTTGGCTACAATTTTTATTCGGGGACGAAAAAAGTGGGGGGGGGGCAAACGATATAATTTATGATACCCCCCCCCCCCACTTTAAAAAGTGGGGGGGGGGGGAGGACTTGTCCCCCCAGTCCCCCACCGATTGACGCCCATAGGTCCTTGTCTCCCACAAAAACGGGAAAGGATACCAGTGTTTGCTATCCAGCCACCATTCAGTCTGGGTACTGACCACATTCGAAACAAGTTTCACTGATATTCAGCCATGCATGCAAAGGATACACACCTACCAACACAATGTTTCCTAATACCTTTAAGGGGATAACGTTATTCAATGGCCAGCACACTGCAAGACAGAACATTTCAAAGTTACCATGGCAATGCCACAGTTTACAGATGTCCAAAGGGCCTTGATCATTAGAATGTTTTATGAAACAAATACATATAAAAAGACTCCTTCAAGAGGTAGAGAAGCGTAATGCTCAGACAGTACACTAATATTGTAACATACGGACAAAATAAATGGCGCAAGCAAGAATATTTTCTTTGGAGGTACCTCAAAGACCGGGTGTACCACATTGTGCCAAACACCCTGCAGGAATGTCAAGCTTTCGGATAATACGAGGAAATTAATTAAGTTCGGAGAATCTTGTAATAACGAAAAAATAAGACGTTCTCAACTTTTTCAGTGACAGATGGGAAGTCCTGGAAGGACTCTTGGTCAAACATAATATTTTAGTGATTTTTTTTCTGTTCTAAATATGGTGTTGATCCTGAACAGATGATAAACACCAAATGTAATATTTTTGGTTCTGTTATTTTGAGTACCACATTTTCTGAAAATTTAGTTGATATATTTAACCATTCTCCAAATTTTCTGCTGCTCCTAAAAAATTCATGCATGAGTCATGTGGACTTTGAGGAAAATCATTTGGATGTAAATAACCAACTTTGAATTCTGTCATTGGTGACACCTTTGCATGGAATTAACCATGTGAGAGCTAAATCTTTATCTTTTTTGCAGATAGAGCAAGAGACACACGATCAGATGAAATAGTAGCTCTGAAGAAGGTCCGAATGGAAAAAGAGAAAGACGGTATGGCCTCATATAGATTTTGATTTTTACATACTGTATACTCTTGTTGATAAGCTGTTGAGGTGTGTACAATTTACTTTTAACATTACTTGTGATTGAATGATAATATAGATTGGTTGTTTATTGGTCGAGAATGGCCACATGTCCAGTCCTTACAAATATGTAACTGTTTACTTCATATGCACAATTATATAATATTGGATGTCTTTGAGATGGATACAAGAATATATTGCACGAGTTATGACAATATTGCACGAGTCAAAGACGAGTGCAATATTGTCATAGGGCATCAAGTACACATTAATAAGGTCAAAGCACAAAAGTTACATTTCCCAATGCAAAACTTCTATCATGAATTTTCTCTCTTTTTTCCCTCCAAAATTTCTGTTTGGAATTGTTGCAGGCCTTCCCATAAGTGGCCTACGTGAGATAAATTTGTTGATCAACTTGCGTCATAAAAATGTGGTTGAGCTAAAGGAAGTTGTAGTTGGCAGCCACCTTGACAGGTAAGCTTTTCAATGTCACACCAGGGCCATTATTATTTTGTAGGTCTGCAGTGTTTTTCACCATTGATTTATAATCATCGCAACTACCCAAATCGCTCAAAACTTCGAATTTATCGCAAGTTAGTGGGGTATTTTAAAGATCAAATTTAGTCATCATGAAACATCTATCTAGCAATGAGTACCTTGGGATGCCTTACGAGTTACTGCAATGTAGGAGTATATTTATTGCAAAAATTGTTTCTTGCCATTTTATTAATATTAATTTGGCATAAATAGGTTCTTTAGTTTTTATAAAATATTGTGTGCGCATGGCTTCATGCTATTATGTCAACAACCACCGAGCTCCAAAGAATGAAGTGTTTCACAACAAAACTATCCTACTGAAAACATGCAGTGCATTGAACATGCACCAATACAATTGACACTAGCATGACACATTTGTTATAAACCACATCTTAGGCCACAGAATTTAAGGAGTAATGCTTTCGATGCAACAACCCACATGTTTTCGCTCTGTAGCGTCTTTTTTAGACAGATTTTGGCGCTATATAAATGTTCACTATTATTATTATTATTATTATTATTATGTTGCCACTGGTTGTAATTTTGAAACTATATCAGAACATCACATTATTTCAGCTGTGTGGTTCTGAGAAGAACCAGTTGTTTTAACTTGACGTTTCATACAGTGTTTTATCGTACGGTGTCATCAGGAGACTGCCGGATTCTTGCCGGTGTAGAGGTTTATTTAGTGCATGTGAATGCTAATTCCATGGACGGTAAAAGCGGGAGATTCTCAAACAGGATGCTAAGTTCGTTGGACCATTATTGGTCCAAGGCGGGAGATTCTATAACCGGAAGTCATGGTGGACTGAGTGTCCTCACTGAAGTATGTCAGAAAGATGGTGATACAGCTTAGATGAACATCAAGGGGTGCGGGGTGCCAAGGGTATAAGGGACCCATAGGCAGAACTACTGATGGGAACTATGGGGATTGGATGGGGTTCGTGGGTATAGAAGACACTTTGGACCTAAGAAGAAGCAGTGGTTGCCATATATCACTGATGTGGTACCCAACGTCTTGTGGAACTGTTTTGCACTTGTAGATTTCTGGACTCGCCGAGGGTGACACTGTTGGATGCTGGTGACGAGTTGTGCTTGCTGCCAGTTGATGGTGTGGACTTCGCTGTGGGAACATTTGTTGATGGAGGACTTCTCGTACTCCCAGTGCTGTGTGCTCATTGAGTCTGGAACACATGATGCTAAGTTTGGTGGACCATTAAGGCGGGAGATCCTGGAACCGGATGTCACAGTGGTACCCCATGTATGTCTTGTGGAGCTGTGTTGTGCTTGTAGGTTTTCCATGGCCTCCCGGACTCGCCAAAAGTGCCACTGTGAGTTGCTGGTGATGAGCTATGCATGTTGCATCAAACATTCCCACAGCAAAGATCACACCATCAACTGGCAACAGGCACAGCTCATCACGAGCAACAAACAGTGATACCCTCGGGGAGTCCGGGAGGCCATGGAAATCTACAAGCACCACACCGTTGCAATAAGTTGATGTGTCTACTATCATGAATTCTGGGACTTGGAGAGAGACTGTAGGCTTTGAGTGTCATGGTCAAGGGTGTTTATGTACAAGGGTGTTTATGTATGAATATATCGGCTCATAACTATTTCCCAGCCTTACCCACCAGTTTTATTCCCCTGGCTGTAAGCCGGAGGGGGATATTGCAATAGCGTATTCCTTGCGTGTATGCATGCGTGTGTTTATGGTGTAAATCGAGGACACACACGTGCAACATCATAGATAAATCGAGGACAGAAACTGAATCGAGGACTCCAGCATGCCAGGGGGAATGCGCAAGTCTCACTTGTAGTATTTTGTTAGATTGTAAAGGACATATAAATATAATAGCAATGGATAATAAAAAAAACCCACATAAAGCACTGGTACCTGGAACAACTTATTCACTGAGGTTTGAGACAAAATTATTAATGATGAGCTTGAATGAAAAGGTCAGGCTGTGATCTCAGGGCTATTGGCAGACTGTTCCATAGGCGAGGGGCTACAACAGAAAAACTTCTGTGTCCATAAGTCTTCAACCTTGAAGATGGAGCTACAAGCAAGTGTGCATCACAAGAGCGTAATTGGTGCACAGGCTTGTATGGCGATATGAGTTGTTGCATGTAATGGGGTGCTGTTCCGTGATAGACTGGTAGGTGATGAGGAGGAGTTTGAATATTATTATGCGTTGCTCAACAGGAAGCCAGTGTAATCCTTTGAGTACCGGGCTGAGGTGTTCAAATTTCTTTGTGCATGTCAGGATACAGGCTGCAATGTTCTGGATTTTTTGAAGGTGATTGATGGTGGAAGCTGGAAGTCCATATAATAGTGAATTGCAATAGTTGAGCCTAGACATGACGAAAGCATGAATAAGCTGTTCAGTCGTTTTGTTTGATTACTGGGCCTTAAAATTCAGACTTTCGTCAAATGTGACACCACGTTTACGAGCTGTATTACTGATTGGTATGGCGTGACTGTTAATGAGGATGCTCTCTAGGGTGTTTGGACAGCGTTGTCGTGGTGAATTCAGCACAAGGATGACAGTCTTGTCACTATTGAGCTGAAGTTTGTTTGCAACCATCCATTCCTTTATGTCAGCAATACAGGCTTCTGCACTGGCAACCGCAATATCTGCATTCGCTGAGACAAAGGGCAAGTAGAGCTGGGAGTCATCAGCATAAAGCTGAACCAACAAACCATGTTTTCTCACAATGTTGGCTACAGGTGAGGAGTATAGGGAAAACAACACAGGACCAAGCACTGATCTCTGAGGGATGCCAAAGCATAGTGTTGTGTTAGATGAGAAGGACCTGTTAACTTTTACAGACTGGACTCGGTTCTCAAGATACGATATAAACCATTTCAGTACCATTCCAGTAATACCAAAGTATATCATTCACATACATATGCACATGTGAATGAGATGGATATAAATTATGGGGACAAGGTTGAGTCAAAAACAATATTTCAGTACATAAAGCTTGAAATAAATATACATTAATTTGTACAGTGCAGTATTGGCAAATAACAACAGTAATTTGTGATTTGAGTTTTCTAATTACTATTTTGAACAGCATTTTTCTGGTAATGATGTACTGTGAGCAGGACCTAGCAAGCCTGTTGGACAACATGCCAGCTCCATTTACAGAAGCCCAAGTCAAATGTATAGCTCTACAAATGATGAATGGTCTTCAATTCCTGCATGATAATTTTATCATCCACCGAGATCTCAAGGTGTCAAATTTGCTCCTGACGGACAAAGGTTGTCTTAAGATTGGTTAGTAATGAAACCATATGAAAAAGTAACTTTTTTCCTTCTTAATTACAACAAGTTTCTCTCTCTATATAGACCCTGAAATTCCTTCACATGATAATTACACACTGCAACTTTACAAGACATATTTGTGTGACATTCATATGCTACCTTTTTACAATCTTTTCAACTATTATCCCCTTATGGCAAATGTTTTTAGCCGAAATAGGCATTTTCTCTAGAAACGTCTACTTTAAAATAAGATCTAAAATAGTATGGAAAAAAGGCCAAATGCAAAAAAAGAGAATGTTCCCCATCAGAAAGATGCAGGATTTTTGGATAATTGTGTGCCAGTTGTTGACTTTTGCACTTGAGATTAGGCATTTGTAGTCATATGTTTTAGCTTTGTTGCTTGTCATAACTGTTTATATTCAAATTTATTTAAAATTAAACATTTCTTGTGAAAATTTGTGTATATTTTTATGGTGACATTATTTGTTGTTCTTTACCACAGCTGATTTTGGTCTAGCAAGAACCTTTGGAATACCATTTCGACCTATGACTCCAAGAGTTGTAACGTTGTGGTATAGGGCACCAGAGGTACTGCTGGGATCAAGTGTGCAGACAACAGCAATTGATATGTGGTGAGTAACAAATATTTCTACAAGGTTGCTTTGCAGTCATGCTAACATGAAGGTAATTAGCTTCAGATAACTGTTGTGGAAAATGCAGTAATGAAGTATTTCTATTAAAATACCTAGCCAACAATTTTACGTTGTGACAACATTGCCAGGAGGTCAGGTTTTCGTTGTGGCAACATGAGGAAAATGACGTTGCGGCAACGTAATAATGTTGACTCGCGTGCACGTTGCCACAACGTCATCGCACAACATACAATGACCTTGCCACAACGTAAAAGAAACATACATCACAAGTTTTTTGGACGTGATTAGTATATGATTTCCACCTTGACGCCACGTTATTTGCGACCTAACAGGCACATAGCAGCAACCTCTACGCGCATTTCTACAACCTTGTGGCGACATGATTTTACAGCAACCTAATTGGAGACGTTTCTACAACCTTTTACGAATGTTATTGCAACTTTGTTGACACATCACTGAAACTTACTGGACACGTTACTGCAACTTACTGGACACGTTAATGCAACATATTGGACACGTTAGAGCAACTTTGTGGGCATGTTATTGCAACTTTAAAAGGACGTTACTGTAACTTTGTGGGCACCTTATTGAAACTTAATGGTACGTTTCTGCAACATTAAAGGCTTTACTGGGCATGTTTGGAGAAACATTTCTGAAAACGATAACGAAACAAAAAAAACCACTAAAGGTTTGTGTTTGCTTAGTTTCAAATGCAGAGTGGTCGGGCAGAAAACTTTTTCATTAGACACTGCCCAGTTAAGTTATGAATATTTTTTATGTCAGAACAAAGGATCACAAACGTTAACCTTTCTAAAATGTAGTACAAACAATTATTTTGTACAAACAAATGCATCTATTAGGGCATGATAAATTTTACTTTACATTTTAGGTACACGTACAAGTTATTTCCGGTTTGATGATGTCATTAGTCAAAAAAGGGAAGGGAATACTGATTTAGTTCAAGGAGGATACTTGTTTATCCTAAAGTAAAAATAATGCATGGAAATATAGAAATTATCAGTGGAGGTAATAATAACACCCAACCTCCGGTTTGATGACGTCACAGTATTTGGAAGCCAAAGGTCAACATTGGGTGTTACAGATGTCATTATTTGGGCTAGGAACAAAGGCATGGGATTAAATGATGGATTTAAATTGAAAACAAAATTATCATTGTTAAATTCTCCCTACAGTAACTTCTGGTCTTGATGACGTCATAATTATGAAACCTTGCAAATTCATTTGTGGTTGCTCACAGAATATATTGGGGAATATGGTAGTCTTTTTATGGAGGGTTTTAAAATTTGAAAAGGTTAAACTCTTTTTTATGTTCTGCTAGAGGGCGTCCTTTCGGGGATGACGTCAAAATTATGTTTTTTTGTGTTTGGCATTCCTCACTTAACACTTCAATAATGTATTTGTCTGTAAAATGCTTCCATTCTCAGGAAAGATTCAATTTCCATTTCACTTCCGGTAACACCGGAAGTGAAGGTCAAGCGGTTTGTGCCCAGAAATAAGGAAAAAATGCCCAGGAAAAAAATGAACACAATACTCTATTTTGTTCAAGAGATATAACTCAAACTATTTTGTCAAATTGTGCCCGTAAATCGCTTGTAATGTGATACCTGATGACGTCATGATGACGTAGCAAAATTTATAACATCTTCATAACATGGTACAAGTTCACACTAGGTTTTATGATGATACCGTAAACCGTTCGGAAGAAATTTTGCTTTGTTTTGATTTCAGGCTAATGTCTTCATTTTGAATTGACCTAGCTTTGACCTTCCGGTAACCCCGGAAGTAAAAGTCAAACAATTTTCCCTTCAAAATCAAAAAAAATGTTTATCAAGGTATGGTCCATCAGATCACAACGTAAGAACGTGATCGTTTATTTGTTCCATGAGTTATACATGATTGAAAATTGTTGCTAGTAATTTGATACCTGATAACGTCATTGTAACGTCAAGAGTAATATGCACCACTCGGGATAAGGGTCGATATACGTTGAAAGTTACAAGTTCATACCATAAACCGTTTAGGAGAAAACCCGCAGAGAATTATTGTCCGGGGAAAAAAAGGAAACAAAAATTAATCGTAACAACTCTAAACAGTGGTCGGGTTGTGCCCGACCACTCAATAATTACTTTTTCTCTAATTTTATTACAAAGAGTGTTCAGCAGAAACAACCGCCTGTAGATCATTACTAAAATGTGATCACTAAAATGGCGAGTCTTATGCTCACTGCGAATATTTGGAAATATCAATATACCGGTATCAAAATATCTTTACAGTGTCCATTTTGTGAATGGTGTAATATCAGAGTCTTTCACTTTAATTTGCATTTTATGAAATGTGTTGAATTTAAGTGAAAGCCAGTTTTGAAATGTTGACGTCGAAAATATTTGCTTCGAAATTCTCCAGAGTTAAAATGTGGTTAACTTTTTGTTTCAAATTCGTAGCACTGGCGTCAATGATTGCCGTAACTTCACAATTCGCAATGGCTTTTGCGCCGAGTACGAACTGACCTTTAAATAAGGCGGTAATGTTTTTATGGGGTCATTCCCTGTCAATTCAACATGATTTTGGACCCGACACTCACAGATTGAAGCAATATTTGGTATGATGATTGGTCTATATGAGAAACCCCAGAACTGAATTTTTTTGTAGTTTGGCCGTTAAATTTTGAGATTCGGGTCAACGAACTTTTGACTAATAAGCAAGACCTCCAAACTTTAAAGGGAATATACATCATTTGCTTTTGCTGTAATTTTCAGAAACGGATGAAATTGGGGGGTTGGAAATATATAGCAGATATAGTTACACTGACTTTTTTGAGGTTTTGGGTTCAAAATGCTATAAAAACCAAGAAAAACAATCATTTTCCTGTAGTCTGGTTCCCTGACTCCATTGAAGAAGAAACAGAGCAGTTTACATACATTGGGGAATTGTAAGGTCAGGGAACCAGTCTAGCTGGCTTGTACCCGTTCATAGGTGTGTAATCGATTGCAAACAAGTGCGATGGTCAACTGGGGCCAGTATTTGAAAAAAGCCAGTTTTTTCCAACGCTGATCGGCCGATCAGCGTTGGAAATTGCTACAAAAATACCACTTTTCTTGGAAAATGACAGTATACCAGGTGCCATGATTTTACAGGATGCTTTACACTGTCATTCACTAACAGTCCAGCAAGGTATTTCAAAATGATTTGGTAGTTTTATTTTTTGATGTTTGCAAATGTTGTATTTTCCCTTTAAATATTGTATCTCCAAACTATAGCACTTACAAATCCAAGTTGTACATCATATTAAAGCTCTTGAATGGCCTCCATTTCATAAAAACAAAACAAATTATCGTACCATGAAGCACATAGAAAATGCGTCACAAAATGACCTTTGACCTTGAATTACGAATATAAATATGCTTCAAACTTTGTAATTGTTTTCGCTATGTTAGTTTATGGTGTAAGCAACAATCTTGGAAAATTTTGTGATGGGCGCTCTTAAAGTGTTCTAATTTAGGATTTTTTAAAGATAGCATGTCCAGGAAAAAAGCAAATATATATTGCATATAAATGTACATACTGCATGTGCACGTTTACCTGTATTCCTGCCCTTTACAGCCCAAATGTGTCACGTCCATTGTTTATGCAGCATCTTGCTACATGTAGCTCTAGATAGTGGCGTAATTATGGGGGTAGCAGGGCAAGGGGGATCAATCCTAACATAACGTCATGTACAAGCCATTTCATTGTGTGGTTGAGCCTTGTTACGATTCAACACATAATAACCACTTGTGTGGGTTATTATGGGGTTTGAGCAACGATCTTGGTTCATTATGTGTTGTTTTTTAATATGGTTGGGGTTATTATGTGGTTTGACCTGAACTATTTGAACTTGGAAACTGGCTTGGATATAACTACAAATTCGGCAACTTTTTGAAAAACCCCTTCTTTTTGTATCTCTGATTCCATGTGACCACTGTTTATACACATGTTTATAAATGCATTTTATGTAATATTTTGAAAAGTGAAACAAATTTAAATTACCAAATTTCTTGAAATTCATGAAATTTCCCCAATGGTCAGTGTGGGGTTGAGCAAGAACTTTTTATATGTGTTTAAACCAGTATTTACAAAAATATATTTTCCCATGTGAAACATTCTTAAAATTGCCCGCATGGTGATACATTTATGGAAGAATTTATTTGAATTAAAAAAATGCTGCACCCTAAATGAAATGTTCTTCAAATTAAACCAAGTGAATTTTGATAAAATTGATTGATTCTTGATTGCCTGTACCTTAAGCATTTATACTACAACTCGCCCATCGGTGCAGTGCCTTGGCAGAACAACATGATTTAGACAACACACTCTAAACAAACAGAACTTGTCAGGGCCACCCAGTCTATCACAAGAAATTTAGACCTATTCAACCAAAAATTAAATATTATAATTTCTTGAACAAGAAATTATGAAAAAAGTGAAGTTCCCTTACGAAGAATAAATAAAACATTTTGTAGATGTTTTTACCCAAGAATTACTTTCAGAGAATTAAGTAAAAGGGATAAAGTATGGGCTTTTCATTTTCTTTATTAAGTATATTTAGTGGTTGTGAAATAAGCAATTATTATTTTCATTTAGAAATTACAAGGTGGTTTGGTATTTAGAATAAACTTCAGGTTAACACCTAGTGGTAAGTTTCCACTGCCATCCAAGAGATCAAAGAGAAAATACAAAGTACTTGTTGAGGTGTAGTAGCACATGACATGTCTTGGAGAAAGGAGAAACTATTGAAGATACTAGACTGGTCACCATGATGAGAAGGAGTAGCATTAGAATGTGCACCAGTGTGGGAAGAAGAAGCAGTTGCAGATGTTGCTGTTGCTGTTGGTGTCGTTCTTGGATACATAGTGTGGCAGGAACCCCTCTGGGCCAACCCAAGTCTATTAGGATAAGTCTGACTCCTAGTAGGGTGAAGACAATCTTCCCAAACCAAGGCTCTTCCCCAGATGAGAGATCACTCAGAGCGACCTTCAAGGCTAAAGGTGCAGGTCCGTTTGGGTGGAAATCTACCGCCCAATTGTGAATGAGTGTCGATTATTTATCTCTGTTAATTAATTGCACAATAAACCTGTAAACATAAAAAACCGGAAGCAGAATTGTCGGTAATCTCAAGCAACAATAATCATAATTTATTCAACACTAATCAAGTACATAAATTAGGATGTGATTGGGAGGGTTGTTTTATTAACTGGGTCTATCCTTACTTTACTGGAGATAGCCCGCTGCTCGCCTATGCAACAAAGCACACAGGATTAAGCACTAGACAACAATGGCAGCAATGAGCAACTATGCACAGCGCCAGTAATGAATCGCTAAGTTAGCAATAACACAGCATCACAAGCGCACAACAGCCTCGCCAATGCGCATCAGCCTAGCAGTTTATACAGTCCGATAGCAGGGTACCTGCTGACGCCGAATGTTAGCCCGATTTCGCACTCGTACAGCTATATTAGCTTCGTACTAGCGCAACCCCAGTACAGCTAGACAGACTTTGTACAAATCGCCTAAGCAATTACACATACCCAGAGTACAAGTAATTCACCTACTTCTCTGCTCGCTGTCGCAGCTACACCCTAGCCCGCTATCTCCAGACACCCGGCACTCAACACCTGAAACAGCTGAGCCCCACAACTAGACACTCAACCAGCTAGTAGTCTCACCGAACAACGATCACCTAAACCACAAACAATCTTGTTGATCCGATCTCAACCCTAAACTGAGCGCGCTCTTCCAGGCACGCATTTATATACCAGTACCACCCAGGTACCGGTACGTAGACATGCAGTCTCATGTACAAACACGTGTACAATATGTGCTTGTAATAAACCTATGGGACTTATTAACCAATCATGTATGTGCAGCAACTCACGGAGCTTGTAAGCTCCACCCAGTCACTAACACACAGTGATTAAGCGTTAGTGCTATGGTATGACGTCACAAATATACACTTTCCGCCACAATAGTCTGGTAAACTGGATCTTGAGGCTGAGGCTGAGACAAATGCTGTAGTGGATTTTGAGGCTGAAACAGCGTAAACTGTTGTTGAGTTGGCTGATAAGATGATAACTGGTGATGCTGGTGATGCTGGTATTGCAGATATTGTTGATGTTGTGGATGGTGCTGGCCTGCACATAAAGCAGCTGTCTTTTGAACAAAGGACATCACCAAATCGAAAGACTTGTGGTAGAAAGATGGAAGTAAGCTCTCATCCATAGTACTCATCATGCCGGATATCCGCTGTCCCGAGGCACCAATAGGAGTAGAGCTGGCCTGTGTCAGCATGGTCTTGATGCCCTCTTGCAGCTCAGATGTAGTGCTCTGCTACTTGGACAGCCTCCTAAGATGCTCCAATTCTTTCTCCATTAACTTCTCAGAACTACCAGGCTTTGCAGACTTCTTCACACCAGGTCCCTTGTGTGGAGGATTCCGAGTAGGCTGAGTAGGATGAATAGAACTGGAAGCAGTGGCAGAAGCAGCTTCACAGGCAACGGCTTCTTCTTCTGCTTCTTCTTCTTCTTCTTCTGCTTCTTCAATGTCGACATCAAAATCTTGGACAGCAATGGGCTCTTCCAACCGAGAGGCGGCAACTTTGGACCTGAGATTTCCGAGTTGACGTGTTGGTACACGTGAAATATGAGACAGTATAAAATCAAACTTTTCCACAATTCATTGATCACGGTTGGTTCTGTTAGACGGCACTGGATCACCAGACTTTAAGCATGTCAGTTTCCCCAGGCGAGTATGCACACTGTTAAACCAGGTCTTCAGAAGAAAACGACTCTCTAAGTTCAACCCTGCTGCCTTGTCATCCCATAGTTTATTCTTCTTGTCCACATCCTTGTAATTTTTGCACCCCTTGACGTATAGGATCCGATGTTCTTTGAGCTACTCAACTATATCTTCTTCCTGCTCGTTAGTCAGGTTAAGACGTCGAGACTTCTTCCTCTTCTTGGTTGGTTGACTGCCTGTTGGTGATGGAGAACAAGGAGAAGGAGTGGGAGATCAAGGTGAATGACGAGGTGAGCTTCAAGGAGTAGGATGAGGTGAGTCTTTTGCCACATCAGCAACAGGAATCGTTGCCGAGTCTTCCACCATGACTCATCTCTTTCATTTGCAAGCACCACCTTTCATTTTTGGAGGCATGATCAGAAAAAGACAATGAACGGATGGAAGCTCAAAGTTGTTGAAGACTGTGGTGAAGACTGTGATAATATGTAGAAGACTGTAACAAACTATTGGTCGACAATAATATAAGTATATACAGCAACAAAACGATGCGCACCCACTGACAGAACCAAAGAAACTGAACGTGAACACGTTGATGACTATTTATATGCAAAGCACAAACCTCAAAGGAATACCGCGATAATTCGTCGACATTCTAGAACAACCGTAAAACAACTGTGGCACGTTCGTAGAGAACCGTGGCCCAATCGTGCTTATTCTTTTCTATTCGTAGGAGAACCTTGGTCATCCGTGACCCAATCGCAGACAACCGTGGCGTTAACGTCATTATTCTTAGTAATACCTTCGATATTCTTCACCAATCGGTCCATATTTTTACAAACCGTTATGTATTCGTCCAGAAACCATATGACAGTCACAGTCCACAAACCTCGACAGTTCTTCGTGATCGATTGATTATTGGTAATTAATGGATATTTGTAGCTCCAATCGTGAATGTGTGACTGGGACTTACAATGTTACAACAACCAAATACCAAACAATAACGTTGTGGCAACGTGATTTTCACAACTGAAAACAACGTTATAAAATAACCTACAAATCAAAACATCATAATTTCAACCTCAAGGCAACGTTGTGCACATTCTAAATAACAAAGTCACGACAATGTAATATTGATAACCTAAACACGTTATGAAAACACTTATCGACATTGTCAAAATTACAGATAAACAACATTTTTACAACCAATGAATATACAGTCAAATGTTGTGGCAACGTTGCTTTAACGTCATCGTGATACGTGACCAAATGACAACATCTTCACATCTTTGCACAACACTGTGGCAACGTGATGAGTTGCCACAATACAGAATGAACTTAATCATTTAAAGCTACCGGACTGAGTGCGGAGCCATGAGCAACTTTGGGAAACATAAAACCATGAAAGTCGTATCGTAAAAAAAGTGTCACATTTTCATGCTCATGTAATACCAACGGCTTACTTGTACCGATCGTAAAAGCCAAGTTAAGTTGGGCAATACATTTAATGTGTTTTTGGAAAAAGCAGCGAGGGCACAAGCCTGTAATTGTTATATGATCAGTGATCACTGAAAAAGCTTTTAAGTCTCTTTTAAGCCATGTACAAAACAAATTTTCAGTTTAAACAACATGCAACAATAGAGAAAGGTTAGGAAATCATTCCTGATTTCTGCTTGTTCTTCATCCACACAGGGCTGCAGGATGTATACTTGGTGAACTGTTGGCAAATCAACCCCTGTTGCCAGGGACCTCAGAAATACAACAAATTCAGTTAATTATAGACTTACTTGGAACTCCTAATGACAGCATCTGGCCTGTAAGTATTTGATTGCTTGGATGGCGGCTTGATCAGGGCTAATTAAACTAGTGAACATAGCCAATAAATCGACATTGATCGACAAAATGATTTCAATGTGAAATCAATATCATCATTGGTTTTTAGTTGTTCTTGATTTTTTGAGGCATGATACTTTCCTGATTTAATTTGGATTTCCAAACATTTTGCCCCTCACTAGATTGTTTTGAGTTTAAGCAGGGTCATATATCATTGTTATACTACTGAAGACAATGGATTCTTTGTTTTACTTAACAGTTGTTTGACTTATCAAGATTTCACTGTACCTATTTAAAGAGAAAATCTTTGCTTAAAGATCCAAATACCCTGTAAAAGATTTCACCTAAAACAGTATCATTCAGAAGAAAAACAATCTTGTAAGTGGTTTCAGATGTTGTGCCCACTGACACATTTTTTTAACTTGTGTAAGGATCAGAAACCATTTACAAGGCCACCTATACCTTTTTCTGTACAAAAAAAAAGGTACAAAGGGATACTATGAACACATTATAAACTTGGGGCAGTAAGCTTTAATTGCTAGCCTGGGAGTAAATGTGTGCTTTGGGAGGTGTTAAACACTATGTTTAAGACTGGTTGGATTTTGGATGCTGTTAATTACCTGAGCCCAAGGCGAGGGTAATTATCAGCATCCAGACTAGGTTTGAGCGGTTCCAAAATGTCTGGAGCCGTTTTCGGTTCTACAAAAAGAAAAACAAAAAAACAAAACCTAGGTTTTGTTTTCCACTGAATTTTCCGTGAGCCGGTTCCGACTCCACGGATGCACAGACCACATCCATGGAGCACGGACCTCATATGGTGTCAGCATTATTTCTTTACATGTAATACATGTAAAGTGGATTTCAATCTGTGGATTTCAACGTGCAATACTTGTTATTCCACTACGTATTTGGTTTGAAATGTGCGTCTTTTTTCCTGTGAAACTATGGATATTGTGTTACTAAAAGCAAGCTTAGCATTTGTTACTTTATTTTCTGTTCTTTGCCTATGACTTTATTTACCACAACGATTGCCATGCCGGGGAGTAGAATGATTCACTGCACAAGTACAGGTACACGTATCCTGCTTCAGTGTACAATGCACAACTACACATAGTGCTGGAATCAGCTATGAAATACCCAGTCCACTCAATGAACATGAGTGTTATTATCTAGCAGCCCACTAGTCTAGGTTTATGGTTTGATACATGATAAACCCGCATGTTTTAGTGCACATCTACGCGACTTTTCATTCTTCACCATGTGCACAGATCAGAACGAACCAAAGCGAAGGATTCATTCATTTTCAACGGTGGATTCGTGACTCGTATGGAGCTGGGTATTTTGTACCTGTCACTCATAATCAGAGCCGGGTCCATCAGAGCTGATTCCACCACTCAGAGCTGATGTGATATGAAATTGGGACTGAGATTGTGAAAATTGGACTTCTTTTTCATTTTATTGGTTAATTCCTGTCAGGTGATCGGTCCTTATCTTAATTATCTATGCACAAGAATGTGCAATACCATCCACCTATGAGTCCGTATTTCATAAAACCTAAATTCACACTACACGTAATTGTGTAATTCAAAACATTTTTATCCATGATACAGTATTGCCCTAGACAGTTCAATGCTCCATGCCTCATGGCTGCAAAGGGCTCTGTTGAGCGGTTCGTCTCCGACTCTCTATGATGTATGGGAGTCTGTGTGGTTTTCCCCGCCATTGTTTTGACCAGCCAGAGTGAATGTCCAGGGCCTTCATGCCTTCATTGACTTTCTGTGGAGCCGATTCTCGGGTCATGGTTTTGTGCATAGCTCAGAATAGATAATTTACATGTAATCTAGAACCCATTCTTTTGGAACCGGAGCCGAGCATAGCGGGTACCCAGTTCTCAAAAAGATTGGACTCGCGGTTCTGGTTCCCATATTGGAACCGGTTAGAACCAGGGGACAGTGGGTTTAAGCTTGCTGGTTTTGAAAATACTTTTCCAAAAAAGCTTATATGCATTTTGAAAAGCCTGTTTTCCATGACTGTGCTCTGTTGATGCAGTGGATGTACATGAAGCGAGATTGGATTGCTTGAAGGGTTTGACAAGTTTGCATGTTAGGAGGTAAACAAACAACAAAATTTACTGTTTCATGGTACATGTAGATAATGTTTATGATGAAGTGTTACTGACTTTTTGTGGCAGGGCTATTCAAGTTTGCCAATGCTTGAGAAGTATACCTTGAAAAAGCAGCCATACAATAACCTTAAGCACAGGTTCTCATGGCTTTCTCAGGCCGGGCTGCGTCTTCTGAACAACCTGTTCATGTACAACTCAACCAAAAGGTCAGTCATATTGCTGCTCAGCATACTAGTGGTTGTGTCTTGTTCATTAAAAATAAAAACACCAACAACCAAAATAACCCCTTCACGTAATTGTACAGGGTGGTTCAAAATAAAGAAAATCCAGTTTTGACAGCAATTTTCACTTTTTTTTTACAATTATTTTAAACTGTTGATTAGTAGCTATTAAAGTACTGGCCTTTAAGCACTTATCATTGCAAGACACATTTTGTCACTGAGCTATGGTAGTTTGAACATTTCATGTGCAAACCTGTTTGTCCATGGAGGTATCGGTATGCATTCCATCCACTTGACTGAGCTCAGCTATCGGAGATTGATGTGAAGGCACAAAAATAGCATACTTCATCAGGCCATCCCAGACATTAATGCAACATTGAAATTGTGCTTTGAAGCTTTACATGGTGGAATGGTACAATAAGTGATAAGTTTGAACGGTACTGTAGTGTACTCTGTCTGTCCACTGAAATGGGTGAGAACAATTCTCAACTCAGGTTCTGTTCAGAACCACATTTCTTCACAGGAAAGATATATTCCTTGGTGTACCCACAAACTTATCACATATTATAGTCCAACATTTATGGTACATTTGGCGTGGCATAGGAAAATCTTTTATCTGAGGTGCTTTGACAGTCTTTTCCATACTCTGCCCAATCTGTTCTTGACTGTCTGCCTGCAGTTATACAATGTGCTGAAGCATGCAATCTTCATTCCCATACAGGCGCAATGTTCATGATTGTATATTTCAAACCTCCCACCTAGGGATATGTTTTGGCCATATGTGCATAGCTACAGAAGACACATAAGTCACGTAATGCTTGGTTGGTTGAATTTTCTTTGTATTTTTTGTCATATAGGGCAACTGCACAAGATTGTTTGGACCATTCCTACTTTACAGAGCAACCATTGCGTAAGTATTTATCTTGCAGAATAAGTATTTTCCAAGCTGTTTTTGTCACAGGGTAAATCTGTGATGGCCAAATAGCCAAAAATCTTAAGGTATATCCTAGGTATATCCTAGCCTTGTTTGACAACTCGACCGTGCTGTACGGCCGAGATCCCCCTGGTACAACCGCAACATCCATGGAGCAAGGGGCGTCAGGCATCGACTGGAGCGAAGGTGGCGGAAAAGCAAACTTGACAGTGATCGCGATGCCTACTTGGCACAACTGTCATTGCTCTCCGAACTTATCCAGTCAGCCAAGGCATCATACTTTAAAGATAAACTAACCACTTGCAATGTCAAAGATATCTACCGGACCATCCAAAAACTCCTTAACAATAGTGCCACTAAGTTCCCTACTGGTCGTTCTAAGAAGATTATTTGTGATCGCTTTGCCCTGTTTTTCAGTGATAAAGTTGTTCAGATCAGACGTGGCCTTGATAGTATCATTGAATCAGTCCCCATGCATACCATTCCTGGCCATGTTTCTAATGTTATCACCAATCCACTCTCTGAATTTGAATGTGTTGATGAACAGGAAATTATCAAATTCATCAATGGTTCCTCTAACAAATCCTGTTCTCTTGATTCAATGCCTACTTGGCTGCTTAAAGCAAATGTCCATGTTCTTGCGCCATTCATAAAACATATGATTAACTCTTCCTTTTCCACAGGTACCTTCCCGCATGACTTGTCTCAGGCTATTGTCACCCCCATACTCAAAACCTAATCTGGATGTAGACGAGCTAAAGAATTACCGTCCAGTATCCAATATTCCTGTTTTATCCAAACTCATGGAGAGAATTAAATCGTGTCAATAACCATGTCAACGACAATTCCCTACATCAACCTTTTCAATCTGCCTATAAGAGCAACCACAGTACTGAGACAGGTTTATTGCGGGTGAAAAAGGACATCATGCGAGCCATAGACAACAAGATGGCGGTTCTACTTGTCATGTTAGATCTTTCGTCCGCTTTTGACACCATCGACCACAATCTGTTAATAGCGAGACTTGAGACATCTTTTGGTCTCCATGGGTTAGCTCTGAATTGGTTCCACAGCTACCTTGGAGGACGCCGAAATCGCGTACGTGTTGCTGGGGTGCTTTCGGATGAACAGCCTGTAGATTTTGGCGTTCCCCAGGGTTCAGTTGTTGGGCCTACACTCTTTACTTTCTACACCAAACCGGTTTCTGACATCATTGAGGATCATCATCTGAACTACCACATTTATGCTGATGATACACAGATTTACACCAGTTTCAATCCATCACTCTCTGGAGATTCTAAAATAGCTCTTGACAAACTATCAGCATGTATCACTGACATCAAATTCTGGATGTGTGCAAACAAACTTCAGCTTAATGATGATAAAACAGAATTTTTTATTGCCGCTTCTCCCCATAGCATCAATTCTCTCTCTGACCTGACACTTCAAGTAGGATCTACCACTATCAAACCTTCACCTTTCATCAAAAACCTTGGTGTGGTATGTGACTCTACTATGTCTATGTCACAACATGTCACAACAATATGCAGATCTGTCAACTTTCATCTACGCAATTTAAATCGTATTCGATTGAGTTATTCTTAAATTAAGTTTAATATTCTTAAATTAAGTTTTTTGTTTTGTTTTTGTTTTTGCCTTGTTTATTTGTAGATTTGTAGTTTTGTACAGCCCTTTGATCTTTGTTAAAAGCGCTTTATAAATGCTCCATTCATTATTATTATTTGTATTGTTTCATGCTTCAAAGACACACTTTTTCACATGTAAGTTGGTCACTCTAGGGACCCGAGAATTTGTGACGACTTACGCAAATAACGACATCTGCTGTAAGTCGTCATTTTGCCGACTTACATGAATTGCCTTTTGCACACATGATTCATTGCACTAATTGGCTTTAAAATATTTACCCTGGATTATCTCCTTAATGCTTGAGTTGATTCCAGCGAATAAATCCTCAAATTTTATCATCACGGGCTGGGATATTGATAGTGGAGACCACGTGTACAAAATAGTAATACATGTTCAATGTACGTGCACAGTTACGAATTAAATGCGTGCGTGGTATTGACTGCATCATTCAATAAGACGACCCCCAAAATAAGACGACCCCCCAACCAACAAACTTTCCAGGGTCAGCCGGCTGGTTCTATTCCCATTTACAGCAGCGGGTACTGCTACCGTCATCATGTCAATGATATAATCTGTCTTTGGGAGATGTAAATTAATATTGGGTTATGCCCTTCAAAAATAGTGATTGGTTCTATTGGTTCCACAAATACCACAGAATAAATGTCCCATCTGACTCTATCTCAGTTTTGGACCAACAGGTATTGGGGGCAGCAAACTAAACATAGTAAATCGTGACGTAATAAACAGGACTCGATTATACTACGCTACATCGGGAGTCCTGTTTATTACGTCACGATTTACTATGTTTTGTTTGCTGCCCCCAACGACGACTTTTACACAAATTGCACGTTCGGGTCGAAACAGGACCTGAAAACAGCTCTCAAAAGTACCTTTTGTACTCATTTCATGACACGACACAATAGTCGTTTTTATTTCATCACACCTTAGGCTAAATATACCCCCAAAATGACGGAAATGTCTTTGAGCATTCCACAACCTCTTTAAATTGAGGTGACGTCACAGTAACAAACCAGATACAGTAGGTCTTGGTCTTGGACTTCTGTCCAAGTCATGATTACTGCACCAGTGAAAAGCATCAACCAAAACAAAAACAAACAAGTAGTGTAACTTGTTTTTCACAGAACTTTAAATATTCCTTACAAGGGAAGCGGTTTTTTTCAAGCACTGGTAATCTCATAACATAGAGGAAATATTTTGATCATTACTAAATTCATAAAATTTGTAAAGTGCTCTGTTGAGGGTAAGAAGCTATCGGTTATTATTTTTCAAAGGTCACTTTTGGAATACCAATCAGTACAAATAATGAAATTGGCAGTGTTGGTTTCTGTCATGATTGCTGCCAAGCACATTTGAAATTGGATGTTATTTTGCAAATTGTTTTTACATAATCAAAATAGCAAAGTTTTTTAACTCTGATTTCAATTTGTTGTCCTATGACCTGCTGCAGCATGTGATCCAAAACTGATGCCAACCTTCCCACATCACAGAAACAAAAGGAAGAAGTCTTCCAATATGCCTCCTGCAGAAACAACCAGGTAAAAAGCTTTGAATTTATAATGCATAATGTCATCAGCATTTCACAATCATTGTGAATTCATCACAATGACACACGTTAGATTAAGTGATACAATTTTGATGGAGTTGTTGATGAATTTTGTAAGTTGATGACTAGTCATCACAAAATAAGCTTAGACAAAGTTAGACCTTTGTAAGACTGAGTTGACTCCAGTTTCTGGTCAGCGCGCACATCGCTATAGCCATTAAAAAAAAAATTCAATGTAGGATGATGTCTCAAAACCACCAAACTCACTGGTTCGACTGGAATCCTGCTGCTGCACAGTTTTAACTTGTTTGTAGATGGAGTTACGATCGAGTATAAGCTTTATGTGGCCTCTGGGCCCCCATATATTTTGCACTAATAGTCCAGCACCATTTGCAGATGGTGTTGTTATTTTGTAATTGTGCGTCTGGAAGCCGGACTGAGGGAGCGATGGACGTGTATCTGGAACCTGTAAAAAGCTTTTTATTCGGCGCAATATGTACATGTGTAATAATAATAATAATACAGGTTCTTATATAGCGCTTTTAACAAGATCAAAGCGCTTTACAAAGAAAAACACAACTATAAACAAGTTAGATCAGACACCTGGAAAAGTACAGGAAAGTGGATACTATTTTGGAGAACAAGTGAGTTTTGATAGATATTTGGAAAGTCTGCATTGATGTTGAGTCTTGGATGAGATGTGGGATTCTGTTCCATTCTTTGGGTCCTGCGATGGAGAATGCTTTGTCAGCTGCAGCCTTTGTGTTGATTGTAAGGGAGCAGACTAATGACCAGCCTAGCAGCTCCTGCATTATGTCGATGTCGCTATGGTCCGTTACTGTTTTCTCAGATTTTTGTCTTAGGCCAAACAAAAAGAATGGTGTGTTTACGGTAACCCGACCGACCTGGCTTTTTTGCGGCCAAATTGCCTACCTCAAATTTTTTATTGCCATTTTGCTAGTTGATAATTTTAAATGTGCATTATTTTCAATTATTTGCAATGAAAGTAACCATTTTCCACACTGGAAGTGAGTTCTATTCAGGCATTAAACATGTTAAATAGCACTAGCATCTGCTATGGCCAAGTTTGCGCAAGGACTATAGTTGACCAATGGTTAACTAACGTTTGCCCGAACTCTGTCTAGTCGACGGTGGTTGACTACGCTAGTCGACTATTTGGAACCAGCCCACTGGGGTTGGTTGCTTCGCTGGTAACCAATAGCCGCGTGCATTCATAACGCTAGCAGAGAGCCAGGATCCAGAAGTTTTGCGATGACATTTGACCAGCGTTTGACTAGAGACGTTCGCACATTGCTATAAGTGCGCAGGCGTAAGGTACGTCACAAATCAACCACTAGTCGACTAATGGTCCTTGCCCGAACTTGGCCTATGCTGTTGGAAATAAGAGCTATGCTTTAATTGCACAGCTACTTCAACGATCGGTGAATAATCTCCGTACGAGATACAAGCCTTTGAAATAAATGGTAAACGTATGTGTGCCTTCACTGTGAAAAGCGAGCATGTGCTGTGTTGTGTATAGTGCAGTGTTACAGACCACATCATTTACCATCTAGGGGTGTTCTTTTGTAAGAACTATTTACCAGCATTTCCACTGCTTCAAACTTACAAATAATACTTTTTATGGAGTCCGAAACATTTCCTTGTTTGAAAATAAGTTCTTTAAAATATAATTTTTGTAAAGAATTTATTCGAGATATGATGTAAAACTCCCCAAATGGATTGAAGCACCCCTTAAAATATAAATGAATCTGTCCATAACATTTTGACAACTTGCTGATTTTTTTAAAAAGAAAGTCGCGATCCAAAAATTGGGTTTTTGACGTTACAAATAGTTGCTGAAAATAGAAATGTGATGAATTTGGTAGTCTGTTTGTTCCGGACAATAACAATAAGCAATTTTTGCCACAAAGCATGCTTTTAGCGCTCTTGGACATGCTCTGACCATGGCTCCATGATACGACAAGCAAGACAGAACCCATGCATGAGTTGCTTTCTCAATAAATTTGATCGAATCTCGCCAGCTTAACGCTGGCTGGCCCGGCCGGGAAAGGTAGCAATTCCCGCGCCTTATTATTGAACGTCATCATGATCGTGTGAAATTATTTACTTTTTTTTTTTTTACATAAAAAAAATGATGAATCCTTGATCAAATTGTGTTGTACCACATGTACCATGTAGAAATTGCAATCGCCGATGACTTTTTTTCTGTCAGAGACCTGTCCAGTACACACATGTACTATGATTGTTTTACAATGTGTCTTGCCATCAATGATCAATCTGCCGATGGTTTCATTTATGTAAAACTTAAAACCGAACTGAACATTGTTGTGCTGTGTTTCTTGAAGAATAAATAGGTGAACTTCAACTCCTCTGATCTGGATCAGTCTGAAGTTTTCTTGGGAGTATGATCACCCAGGTCCAGTGTAGGCACTAGCTGGACTGAGAAGCAGGAAGCTCTTTGTCTCGCAATACATTTCAAATACCCAGAGAGTAAATAGTCAGACGCTGACAGGCTGACATAATATATTCAAAACAGAATACATGTAACCTTGTGCTAACACTTTTATTTATTTTCTAGTTCTTGTTTTTAAAAATGCATTGTGAGTTTCGGCACTGTTGTTAATGGAACACCTTGCACCACTGAGTGCAAAACAAATCATCCAGCAATCCATAGGTTCATAGTCTGGGTAAAATGTAAATAAGTGTACAACAATAGAATGAAAGATGAACAAAATACACCTCCAATTTGGAAGTTGCTTAAATGCATGTTAACATTTAAACCATAGCACTGATCTATGGAGGTCGAAATTGTGCCCTTTTTTTGCCATACATGCAATGAATTTTTGTTGTTTTAGAATCAGTACAACTCTGATTTCACAAGTTTTCAACATGAGACTATGGAGTACCGAAGTGAATACGTCACGCCGCACAAAAATGTGTGTAAAAGACATTAGCGCGTGATTCAGCCCGAGAACCAACACGCCCGCGTACTCCATTCGTTTGCACTACACTTTCTGATTCTAAATGACGTCACACTTCGGTACTCCATTCTTTATGAATTATGAATAGAACAGAAATTAGTACACGTACAATGTAAATAGTGGGTTTCAAACCGAACTGCAAAAGAACGCGCAAATGCATGTCTGAAATGGAAAAAAAAAAAAGGTGAAATAAAATTATTTTCCTACCTACCTAACTGGATTTTTTTCAGGCCATTACCGTAAAGTTTTGTTTGGCCTTAACTATCCTAAGTTTCCGAAGAATATTCCTGTCGATTGAAATCATAAGGTGAAGAATTCTCAAGTCTTATGACCTGACTGAGGTCACCTCAAGCTCCACTCTGTGAAGGATATTTTGAGAGTTTTAAGGGATCAAAGCGTCATCTGCAACATCAGCCGACATTTGAAGAAAACAAATGGGGGGGGGGGGGACGTGTCGCCACACCACTTTTAGGGCAAGCTCCATACCAGAAACCAAAGACTTTTTGGGGGGCCTAATGGAAATATAGACAGCCGATTTACTTGAAGTAGTCAAACTACATTTTGAGAAAATGGCATTTGAAAATCCTCCTGTTGAGTTACAGTGAATGAAGAGTCAAATAATATACCAGGATGAAAACAGGTTTTAAAGATGCTTGATAGAACACACAAAATGGAGAAATGTAGAATAGGACTTACAGATTAAGGTTCACCTGAAACCAAAAATCGACCACGCCCTTCAATTTTGGCTTTGGACAATTTCCAACTTGAAGCTCATTTCATGGTGACAGGTCACATTTACAATGTACTATAAGGTTTTAGTGGACCAAGGGAAGAAGTGTATCTATAGAAAAAAAATGTATGCAGGTTACAAGCAAGTCTCAGACTAAGATTGTGAGATCATTCTTACTGTTTATTAGCTTGTTCTGTAGAAAGAAAACACTTCTGTTATCACATTTAGACTCAAAAGTCTTGTTGTATAATGTACAATGATATAACCTTAGATGAATCCATAATGTTCATTTACATGTATTTGTTGAAAACCGTACTTATGCATTCCAGTAGTAATACACCACCACCAAAATATTGCTCACTTTATCTGTTGATATTTTCTCAATTTATCTGCAGTGTGACATACAAAAGAGAAGAATTTGGCCAGGCATTTGGACCACAGATCTCTACTGTAGCAATAAAGAAACCCAAGAGATGACTACTGTCATCTCAAAATGAATGGAGCCAATATGGACGGTCCAGCCTCAAACCATGTTATAGTGGCATATTACTCGATAGACTCCTCAGGCCAATGTTAGCAGTACATGTAGCTTGGTTGATACTTCTGCTAATGTTGAGCTTGGTTCATGCCCTGCACTGCTGGATGACATCCAACCAACTGTCTAATATCTGGTTTGATCTAAAATAGTCTTGAAAAAACATTGCCAAGGGAAGTCCCATTAACGTGTGTTCTTGTTCAAAATTAGTGAAACCATTCAATAATGGAATGAAATTTGCTGAAATACATTATATTAATATTAGCATAAGTCAAAATCTTCTGCCAATATGTATCAAATTTGCACAAGGTTTCTACAATGTTTTCTGTCAGTCAACTCATGCAAACCAGATGAATCAGTGGTGCAACCATGGCCAAACAACCTGATGCATTTATTTCTTGTAATAGCTCTTTTGGAAAGCCTTGACATTCCCTGAAAATAAAAGCTTTCCAAGTCCAGCCACGCCGTCAACATTGAATGTGTAACCACTTCAAAGACTGTAAACCACCCAGTCTCAGGATTCTGGCCTAAAGGCATTAGCAATATTACTTTATAACAACAAATGCACAACATAAAAGTTGGTCAGGAAACCCCTTTTTGAATATTAGGCCATTTAGGGGGTTTTACCAAGTATTACCATTGTACAGGTGATCCAATTGTATTGATAATAAATAAATAATTATTGATAACAAGTGGTCTTCTCAAAATTATATAGGCTTTATTCACGCGTCGGCCGCTTTAATTGAAAGGCAGGTAAAATCTTCATTTTTGGAACTTGCGAATAGAAATGACAGCAGTGCTCAGATGAATAATTTACAATGTGTGCTTAAACATACCCTAATGTTTTAAGCCACAATTAAAAAAAAATGTTGAAATTGAGGCTTGGAATACATAGTTGGCATCATCCAATTCAACACTTTACAATTTATAAAATACATTCAGCAAACACGATCAAAACTGGCTTGCTCATGAATCAGGTCTATTGCATTAATAGGACTTGTCTTCACCACATCACCATATCAATACCACCAAAAGAAGGCTTCCAAAGCAATCTGCAGTGCACAAGTATTACTGGGATGTTTTCTCAATTGTTGATGTCATTCAGACTGAGTGCTTTCATTCCAGACAGATTTTGTTACATGAATTGAGTGACAATGAAAGTACAAAGTGTCTACTCATGCGTATCCCAGAGGAACAAAGTTGTGTCCACAAAGAGCACACTGTATGTAAGGCATATACCGTACAATCCGCTTGCCAGACCGATTCCTATTTTCCAAGAACTGATTTACATTAGGCACTCATTACAAACCTACTGTAAATGCCACAGAATGTGTAAACATTCATGTGAATGTGTGAATAATGAGTGTAGCATACCCAAGACCATGTCTGAATGTGCCATGCCACTGGTTATTAGTCAGAGGTCATGTCATAATACATTTGTCCATTGTTTCCAAGACAAGTGAACCAAAGCAGACTTTCCAAGACTTTGAAAACATTATCTGCCTACTTTATTGCTCAATTCTATTTTTGACAATTGCTTTAGGCAAACACAAATGTTCAATAAAAGGGATGGTGTTAACATATAGCCTACTGTATTATATTATAAAGAAATGATGCAAAATCCTGTACAAAATGTATACAAATTAAGCACTGCATCATGAAAATACATATCAACAAGTAATTCAGAATACATGTACATACATTTTTGGTTTGAAATGTCGGAACAATGTTATAATAATCCAGTACTCAAGAAAAATACTGGTTCTTTTTGTAACCCTATCAGCTTTTTTACTGTTCACTTCTATCAGAGTCTTCAAACTTTGCACAGACGTTGCATTTGCTTTTACTACTAATTTTTAAGCATTTACTCTGATCTGTAAGAATATAATGAAGCAAGCACTTTTACATTTGCTAAAATATGAAAGTATTTACTTTTTAGCTTTTGCTAGACTATAAGCGTCTATTTTGTTGAATTTAAAAAAAGTAAATGCTTCAGATTTCAAGTATTAATTAACTGGTAAGTTTTCAAGGCAAATACTTCTGCGCAAAAAGGGATGCATTTATCATGTTAATCGCAAAGAATTAAAACATACTTTATGAAGTACATATAATACCATACACTTCATTTCCAATCACATTTATGACAAATTTGTATACATTTTTTTAGTATAAATTTCATTCCCAGAAGGAACAATAATTTTGCATTTTATTTACGATGATTTTAATGCAGCACAGAATGACTAAGGAGTTGTCCAATGGCATTCTTGGGACTGAACGAAATGAAATAATTGTCCAATTTATTCGGTAATGTATCTTTTCAATGTTTTTTTTTTTTTTCAATACACGTACTTTAATATAAAAATGCTTTTGCTATTGAAATTTAGTACAATTTCACTCACAAAAATATGTGTCTATATTTTGTATGCAACTGTGACTGTCATCAGAACACTGTGGAGTTTTACAAGTTTTCATGAAAGTATAATTTCTGTATTCTGCAACTGCAAAAATTGTCTTAATCATTTTTGCCTGCTACTTTTTATAACTGGTTTACTTTTTTATGTGGTTTTGATATTTTGTAAAGCGTTTTGATATAAGGATAGGTTTCCCGGCCAATTTCCTAAAATGTTCATTCACTTCTGAAAATTAGTCATTCATTTGTGTCTGAATTTGAGAATCGCTCTGAGCACGTGTTTCATTTTCGCTACCAGAGCATTCGATTCCATTTCAGTTCAATCAATTAAGTAATTGAGCAGTACCTTTCGTTTATGTCCATTTAGATTCCTTTACAAGACTTCTTTTTCACTTTTAGAGAGCGATTTCAAACATTCCCCATTCTATTTCACTTTTAGTTTTATGCATTCGGCACCAGATACAAGATTTTCATTACCAGATTTTCTTTAATCGTCAATCAAATTAGCTGAACTTGAAATCAATTTAGAAAAGGTATGCTTGCGTAAATGAATGCACAGGTAACCTTATTGGCCGTCTGTTTCTCAAAACTGAATGCACGGACAATGAAAACGATTGAACTTTCGTTGAATTAAAATGGGATTAAAGACGTGTATTCAAATTCAGACGAAAATAAATGACTGACTTTCACAAGTGAATGAACATTTCTGGAAATTGGGGGGTGAGGGAACCTATATACTGTATTAAGAAAAAATTATTATTTATTGTTTTACTGGATTTGAGGATCAAATAAACTACATGTACTGTAATGTATGCATCACCTTGATTTGGACTGTTGCCCTACATGTAAACCCTGTGTGTGTGTGCCAGTTTGGACACAACTGTCAATAACAGATCATCCATGCAATCGATCTTACAGTAAGAAGCATTTGCTGGCAAGTTGTCTAGTGAATTCTTAACATAGGAAACTTTAATTTATACGGATTCCAGCATTTGCTTTTCGTTCTTGCTTCATCCTAAGTAAATGCTTTTACTTATTGCTTTAAACTTCCTAGCATTTGATCGTTTTTATTTATGCGACCCATTAGACTGAAATCAACACATTATTCATTAATCAACAGTTTCTTGAGAACTGTTTGGTCTTTCTCATCAAGTTGACATATGGCCAAGACAAGAGCTGATTGTCCACCTAATAAGAAAAGGAAAATATATACATGATGTATCAGCTACAGCAAAAAGGCACAAACAGGCTGATTCTCAGCTCTTGCTGGTTGTGGCCCAGCAACTGACAATTTCTCTGTGTACTTATTACAGTCCATCTCCCAGGCAAAGGGATTGATCATACATCAAATCAATATCGGTACTAAGAATATCGTTGGCATTAACAGAATGGAACTGTTCCCACTTGTACGCATGGCATATATGATGTTGAAGATCTAGTCAAGAGTTTTGTCTACAGCTTATGTAATAAACTTGGGGAACATGCTGACAATGATCAACATCAATATAGAAGTCTCAGGAATTCTGCTTTTTTTGTTTTTGTTTTCCTGTTTTGTTTGTGTTTTTTAACAACTAAGGGACGGAAAGTTGAATGGCTAAATTTGATGATGAATTCAATGACTGACCTACACAAGTTCTAAGTATGATGATTATCTGTCTGAAATATGGATAGTATACTACACTTTCGAGCGAGCGAGCGAACCCAATGACTATTCAAAAACTGGCTGCATACGCAGACAACAAGAACACGCAGAGCTCCATAGCAATTATTGATCAACGGTTGGCCACACACACTGATCATACCACGCTAAGCCCTTAAAATTCCTAGTTACGAACGTTACGGCCTACTCGTTTCAGTGTTGTTGACTCGAGTCGCTGACTCAGACTCGAGTCGCTGACTCAGACTCGAGTTGGACTCGAGTCGCTATTTTTTTTACTTGAGACTTGACTTGGGGAAAAACGACTTGGGACTTGACTTGCAAAAAATATGACTTGTGACTTGACTTGAATAAATTTGACTTGCTGACATTAACACGTTTCTTAAAGTTACAAAAAAAAAACCGCAAACCTCTGGGCGTTGCTGCGCACTAGCATAATCGGTTGAATGCAGATGTACATAGCGAATTAGCAACCAGCATGCGATAGTTGTTTACCGTAAGCGTGCTAAATGCAGCTAGGGTTTAAACAACTGGAAAACGGCTGCTACCCCCAATCCACCATAAAACAAAAAGAATTCACATCATGCATTAAATGAAAAAGTTCGGAGGGACATTTTGTCAGACGTCCTTCAAACATTCAACATGTTGGAACAAGTTTGAAAATTATATATCAAAATGCGTTTTTAGACTCTTTAGATACAAATAAGGTGTTTGAGGGAAGATGTTGGAAAAGTATATTTTTTAAAATCGCCTTACAAGATGCACGCTTTGATGAACCCCATTCCAATTTCTATTCCGGCTCCATCGTCGAACACATAAACTAGTTCCCGTATGTAGTATGTGCATTTAATATTTAATAAAAAATGACTCGAGACTTGACTTGGAAAAAAACTTGACTTGAGACTTGACTTGCTAAAATTTGACTTGCAACTTGACTGGACTTGGGAAAAAATGACTCGGTTACAACTCTGACTCATTTAGCCAGACACCTGAATGCACTACAGTGAAAATACCATTTGAGATAAACCATTTTGACTTTCACCATGTTCATAAATTTGGCTGAAGGACAGTCATGTGGAGCTGACAGATTTCCTTCAAATGACAATAGAGTAAAGATAAGATAATTCAGGATCTGGGCAGTCAATTCTATTGCGCTTTACTTAACCGTAGAGTATTACTACGTTATTCCCTTGAGGGCATTATTCCCTAGAGGGCGCCATCCATACGCTAAGATTTATTACCCACAGTACCTTGCGGCCCGCCCGCCATACTTCCTCTTTTCTCGCAGCGGCATTACATGAAAGACGAATATTTACAGAGCTCTCGCTTTGCACATTTTCTCGGTCTTTACTCGGCCATTTTTATAGCTAAGTTCATAGTTTTTTTCAACTGTTTGTCTTCTGTTGTTGTTTCTACAAGTTGAGTGAGTTTTTATTGTATTTTGGTCAGTTTTTCGTGTTATTTCTTTGGTCGTTTCGGGTACATTTCAGGAGTGAGTCCTCGCACAGCACAGGTTGCCGGTCACTCACTCCGTGATATTTCGCAACTTAGCAAATCCCTCACGATGCATCGAACTCGCATGTTCGGTGCTTTCACCTTCGAAACGAACACTGTAATTAACTGGCACTTTCGTTTTCTCAAAGCGGTATATTAAACTATGCGCGAGACTTCACATTGGTGGAGAGTTGTTAATTGCTACACCACACTTTACCGACCAGTCGGCGTGAAAATTTGCTGTTAGCCATTCATCACGCCGCACTGACCTTTCGGTATTTTTGCCTTCAAAACGAAAGCAATTATTTTTGCCAGCAATTTCGTTATCTCACAGCGGTGTATTGACCAACGTGCAAGACTTCACAAAATTGGCTGCAAGTTCTTAATTTTAATGCCACAACTTAATAATCAGCCAGCGTGATATTTCGCTACTTAGCAAATCCCTCACGCCACACCGAATTTTAGGTGCCTTGCTTTCAACAGTCTGCGTGATATTTCGCTGTTCGCAAATCCCTCACGCTGCACCAACATTTTGGTGTTTTCATCTTCTAAACGAACGCTGTTATTTTTACCGGCAGATTCGTTTCATAGCTGTGTTGTTCAACGTGCAGGACTTCTCAACATTGACTTCAAGTTTAACTCCCAACGCACAGCTTCGCGACCAGCCAACGTGAAATTCCGTTTTAAGCAAACCCCTCATGTTCCACCGATTATTTCGCTGCTAGCAAATACAATGAATATTCGGGGCTTCGCCTTCCAAATGAAAGCCGTTAGTAGTATGAACTGGCGATTTCGTTATCTCACAGTTACATGGTGTGATGCTTCAGGCGTCTTATTCCGCTCTAGTAATTTATACTAGAGCACAAGAGCGATACATCCGTCATTTGATAGGCCTATCGTTTGTTTCCAAACTAGTCTTCTGGCCACTCCAAAATTGTACCGGCCGCCTTATTGTTCCGGACGTCCCAACTACTTTGGCTGCCGTCCAATTTTTCCCGATCATTTTACATGTGTATGGGTTTCCCCCTGTGCTGCAATTATGTCATCCACATGGCCCCAAACTAACTCGGAAACACCCAAAATACGGATGGCCAATCAACCTCGCCCGCCGCTACTCCACTGGCCTCGTTGGCCGTATCCACGACCCCCATGTCCGGCAATCCGGGTGCCAGGGCCCTGCCTTTTCGGGCGGCGATTCAACTTTCGGGTGGTGAATCAACTTTGCACACCCCAGCCCTTGGTTTCTCTGCGTGGTTCATTCACATCAGAGTTCCCTGCTGCCTCTGGGGTCCCTCTACAATCTGAGGCTGATGTTTTTCTCAGAAGCAGAGGAAGAAATTTAAACACAAGTCGACCTGTACATATATATCTTTGACAGCTCTGTCGGTAAAAAAAAAAAAAAAAAAAAAATTCTCCTTATGACAAGGCCTTATATCTAAAACCTTGTCAGCCTTCTCAAAGCAGATTGCCGCGGCTGAGCCAGGTTCGTCGTCTGCTCAGCCCCGTCCGGCCCCAAACCCTAATAAAACACACACGTTTTTCGCCCTCTGGACACTCCAGTCTTGTTGGTATTTGCCTTTAGTTCCTTTGGTGCTCCCACAGACTCGCCGTCTGAACCTTCTGCCCAAGATGTTTCCTCTTCCCTGTCACCTCGTCAGGAAAAACAAGAGGACACAACTATGCCAGCCTCGATTACCACGTTTTTCACCTGGTACGAGACATGACGCACGTATTGGGGTTGTGTGAACCCAACACCTGCTACACAGCCGAGATTTTTAAAGCGACATGCTCGGCTCTGCCTTTCACTGACTGCAAAACTCCCTTTGGGCAGTTCCAGTGAACCTAATCAACATAGAGGGACGACGGGCAGCAATTCTTGATGTCAGATTTCTGCCCTCCAGTTAAACTTGCGAATGGCTCATGTCCCTTCCCTTCCAGGGGTGAGACCTCTTTGCCATTCAGGTGAAGACTGCTACGGAGAAGACAATTTTGACCAAGGTTTGTCCAAAACTGTGTTCCCGTCAAGCAGTGGATTTTAGTCCACCCCACGATGCCCTGCAAATACATGGGCCACCTTCTGTCCTTCAGCCTCAACCACTGCCTTTCGGCTACGGTTCAGCTGGCGGAAGTGAATACAAGACCTGTGACAACCCGGTTCACCCATTTTGACCGGGTCCTGGGGCCAAATCACTTCAGTCCAGTGGCTAGTCGACACTGTCTCACTCGGCTACTGCCTGGAGTTTTCGAGTGCCCATTTGTCGGACACAAACGCATGCCAGACTCAGGGTCTTCACCAGAATTGTGAACAAGTCACTGGCCAGTGCCTTCTATCGTCAAGGTCTATGGATGTTCATAAACCTTGCAGACAGATTCATCATAGGCACATAGTGGGCTTCAATGACTCACGCAGTACGTCAGACCCGCTCAATTTCCAAGTGCCTGGGGTTTGCATCAACAATTCTAAATCCCAGCCAATCTCATCCCAATGGCCAAGTTATTTCAGTGCTGTTCCCGTTCTACATGTACAATGGGACACGGCTCACCCGACATGGGGGCGAATCGCCAATGTTTGTCGATGCGATTCCCTAATGGCTAACTGGCGCACCTTACGGACTTGGTTTCCCTGTGCCGCCTGTATAGGGCCTGCTGCAAATTTCTGGGCCCCTTTGATCATGATTCCACCCTGTATCCCACATGGTACTGTGTTTACAGAATACCCGGCTGTGTCCCCGATGGTGGATTCAACCGGACAATATCAGCCAGGGTTTTTTTCCCAGCCCTTTTGGCCCATCATGACAATCACAATTGCGACAACACAACTGTGGTGTCCTACATATAGGTGATACTAATATCCTCCTGTGCCTGTGCCTACTCACATGGCAACTACGGCATTGGCGTGGCCAGCATGGCATCTATTTCTAAGAGGTCCATTTGGTGGACAGAGACCACACCACAACCGATGCACTCTCCAGGGGCTGGATTCGCCCCATGGAGTGAACCATCCAAACCTTGGTCATCCGAACCTTGGTGACCACCAGGCTCTCTTCATTACCACGTTTCGCCACATCGGCCAGCATCCTTCGATACAATCGCTCGCTGGGTCATGATGGCCATACGACTCCCATCGTCTGAGTGACCGATCCTGAACAGAGTACAGGCCCACGAAGTTCGTAGCGTGGCGACCTCTTGGTCTCACTTTTTCAGAGGAGTGCTCCTTGCAGATATCATGCAAGCGGCATGTTGGAAATCCTCCAACACATTCATCTCCTGTTATTTCAGGGACGTGCTGCAAGCCGACAGCAGAACCGTTGTGCAGCCCTCCCTACTGCCCCAGTGGCGCAACCGGATCCAGTTCCTCCTCCGCTGGCGTCCTGCAGTACCGACCAGTGACGGATTACCCCATTATGGTTACAGCCGATTCCTCTGGTTTTAGTGGGTTTAATCTTGTTGGCTTTGGGCTCACGCTTCCTTGCAGCCTGCCTTACACATCGTACACTCTCATGTCGTACGTGAACCCATCTACCTAAAATGGTGCTACTCTGCATATGTAGTAATACTCTACGGGTAAGTAGAGCGCAGCAGAATGCCCCCCCCCCCCCCCCAAGTGTGGGCCGATTCTACTAGCGAATACTTACCCGTAGAGTGCCCACCCGCCTCCCCACTCTCATGTATGCGTTCATTCACGCACCTTACGCTCGAGAAGAGAGGAAGTATGGCGGGCGGGCCGCAAGGTACTGTGGGTAATAAATCGTAGCGTATGGCTGGCGCCCTCTAGGGAATAATGCATATGTAGTAATACTCTACGGCTAAGTATTCGCTATAAGAATATGGACCAGGACAGGATATTGAAAATAATGTATTCGCGATTGAGGGGCGAATTAGAGAATAAGGGATATTTCTTTTATCACTATTTTGCACATTCCTGTTTCACGACTGAAAGAGACATAGACCACCGTACGCACTTGGCTATCTCCCCCCCCCCCCCCCCCCCCCGGCTTAATCCTTCTGGTGGACCTTGCTATCTCCACTCAATTATCGTTGTCCAACTTCATTGCTGAAGTTGTGAGCGTCTGAGAAGATCTCAAGCACATGACCACAGTTGTGTAAGTTTATAATGGATGAAACTTGAAACCTTGTATAGCACAAACCAAAGGTTTTGCATTCCTTAACCAAGGTGATTAATTTGACATACCCAGCACGACATGAGATGGAGGGGTAACACCCCCCCCCCTGATCTCCCTATGCCCTATGCAAACCTTAGACTATTGTTGTCTAACAACATATCCCCCTAAATATATCAAAAGAATGCCTGAGATTCTGGTAACACAATGACCAACACAAAAGGGGGGTGGGGTTTTCCCCTCCGTCTCATATCGTGCTACATATGTAATTTGACTTACATGTATTGTGTAGTGAGCTCTTGTGTGCCTCCTGCAGCTTTTGAAAGAACTGTGACACCATTGAATACAAAGACGCTTGATCCTGAAAATTGATCAACAGGTTTTACACAAAAAAAAAACATCAAACTTTGAAAATACATAAGACTAGGGTACACAGTTTTGTAAAAAACTTCAAGCTTTTTTCCCTTTAACCCTATTAACCCTAACAGAACTCGACCCATCAAACCCCAACGGCATGTTTTGTTGGAATCTGTCTGGATGGGTACAGTAGCCCTAAACTGACAGTCTTTTACATTGGGTTGGCACACCTCCAGAAACAAAGTCAGAAATGGGTATGGTTACTAGTAAATCATTCTAGGGAGTTAGGGTTAATGCAATAATTAATTTCCCTTTATTTTGCAATACAGTTTGGTTTTGTTGGCATATAACTACATTTACATACTGTTTATCAAAGTCTATGGAATTAAGAGGATTCCACCAAATGCCCAAGATTTATAAGATATATTTAGCATTTTGGTATTTTTCAATTTCATTCATGGATTTTGAAATGTTGAAGGGTATGCAGATGGGTGCAAATTGATGGGCGGGGTGTCACTATCCTCCAAGCTTACAATTACGTCATAAACCCCAAACAGTGTAGAACTCCAGTCCCAAAAAAATAAATACTTTCAAACTTAAAGATAATGTACAACGTTTAAGAAAAGTGGGATTTTTGTATCAATTTCCAATGATGATTCCAACCATCATTCAAATACTGCTCCCAATTTACAAACTTTAGTTAGTTCATATTTTGTTTGAAATAATTTACACATCCATGAATGGGTGCTAGTCAGCTAGACTGGTTCCCTGACCTGACAATTCCCTGACATCTATAAATTGCTCCATTTCATCTGAAGTAGGGTTAACCAGACTATAAGAACAGAATTTTTCTTGATTTTTCCAGCATCTATGAACACAAAACTTTAAACAGTGGGGCGCTGTGGTCTAGTGTTGCCGTGTTGCATGGGTTTGAACCCTGACAGGGTACATGATGCTTGTGCTCTTGGGCAAGGAACTTTACTACAATTCCCTCTCTCCACCCAGGAGTCTAAAATGGGTACCTCTGAAGGTAGACACCAAATTGAGCTGATCTGGACCTGCTGCAAACAATAATAATAATAATAATAATAATTGTGATGCGCATTTGATAATATTCGTATGGAATAAAATCCGTAAAAATGCATTCGTATTGTCTTTTCTGTCTTACTGAAAATGTCGACAACTATTTTAACATACAAATTGCTTCCATATGTTGTTACAATCACCATGACCCATATTCAGAAGGAAATCGCTGTAGTTTTTTCCCATTGAAATTACCAAGTTCCATGCAGCAAAATTGATTGCGCTATGAAGATAATTGAATGGAAGGAACAGTGTACAGCACTGGTAATGGGTGGCTATTATACATGGTTGATTTTGACATTGTAAAAATGTCACCCAAACACCGATGGGGGATACAAGATTTCTGCAAGTTAATTCACATAACTTAATCTCTGTGTTCCATGTATGTTTTTTCTACTTTTCTGTGTTTCTTTCGAAGTCTTAATGTGTATACTTGTAGCTATACAGCGTAGCGTGTTTCCCAAAATTCCACTGCTGGTGCTGCTTGTGGTTGGCGGTATACACATGGAATTCCACACATGCTGCAACGGCAAGATGCAACGAATAAACACTGGGCACAGTGGTGTGCCAATTCTCCATTATATTTAAGTATTGTCAACACTACATTTTCCCCCTTTAGCTAAGGCAAGTGTTTTCATTTTTTGGAGGCCAGTTTTGATAATGTTCGTAGTGCAAATGAAGATAATTTGGGCATACACCTTGACTCTATCTAATAAGCATAAACAAATTTTGCAAAATAAAAAAAAAATGGCCTAGCTACCGATGTTATTTTTTGCCTCATTGTAAATTACTGGTTGATTTTTTTAATAGTCTGGATTGTTTTTTTTTATGCATGTATGCAGTAAAAGTAATTTTTTTTAAACTACAAAAATGCAACCTGAATTTATACAGGTCAATCATTTTATTGCTCTTGTGGTGTATAACAGTATTGGTAATAATTTATGGTATTTACATGTTCACCCACAAACAATGTTGGTAAACTTGTACTAGTTGGGGGGTGTTCTTGAAAAGTAGTACTCTATGTACAACCATGAACATATTGAAAACTGTGGACAGCCCCTAACAAAACAGTTGTTTACTGCTGTGAAGTGGGATATGTCATTTTTAACCCCCTCGGGGAGCATAGCACCCCATGGGTGTTCAAAATGTCATATCCCACATCACAGCAGTCAACACTTGTTAGTTCTATGCCACTAACTGCCTGGCAAACTGGACTTGCATAGTTACCTCTTGCTCATCATCCCAACTGTCCCAGTCAGAGTCAGACCCATCATTGCTGCCATGTTGATCCTCCGGACTGCCTACATGTGTTGGCCATGCCATCTGACCACTCCCACTACTCACACTCAGTGATAAAGACTCTGCAGCTTGACTAGCACCTAGCAGAAATAAACACATCAAGGCGGTTTGGTGTTTCTTTCCATCAAATCTTGTTTGAAGTTGACGTTTGGTGTTGCTACCAGTACTGTACCATTGCTGCAGTAGAGGGCAGTGAACTGATCTTCAAACTAAAACAACATCTTTTAATTTCTCTCAGGATGGTTTATCTACCCTTCGAATTTTGACCCCTAAAGTAAAAACCATTTTTTTTTTCATTTTTTCATTTTTTAAAGCAACAATCACCAAAACTGCATTTTGATGTTTTTCAATAAGTGAACGTTTGAGTTTGACGTTTGAGCTTTTGACAATGGAAGAAACAGCAATTGTTTGAAAAGAGCACTTGTAAGTTGTATGAAGAAAAAAAAACAATATTAAAAATCACTCATAAACCAATCTGTCATTAGCCCTTTTCACACTAAACAAATCTCGGGGTTGAAGCAGGGTTGAAACATGCATCGTGTGCTGCGAGTGAAGGTGGGAACACAAGGGACAACAAGTGAGAGACCTTCTGAGCACACAGAACATCTGACAGAAAGAGGTGCTAGGGATGATAGGTCCAGTCCTACCAAATTGATAGCCCGCTGTTCGATTCTGTCAGAAAGGGACAAGTAGCAGACTGGAGCACCAGCCCAGATATGACTGCAGTATTCCATGACTTGTCGTATAGTGGCCTTGCACAGATGGAGCATGGCAGTTGGAAGAAGATACCAACGTGCATGATACAAACAGCCCAGACGCTGAGATGCTCTTCTGGCAGAGTTCTAACAAGTCACTGATTTTTGTGACTAGAGTTGAGTCTTGTCATTTTAAAGAAGTGACTCAAGTCGAGTCATTTTAATGAATGACTCAAATCGAGTCGAGTCATTAGGTCAAGAAGGTTTGAGTCGAGTAGAGTTGAGTCAAGTATTTAACTTGAGTCAATTCGAGTCACAAATATTTGAACACTACAGGGTGGTCCAAAATAAGTTTACACATTTTCAGAAGCACATTTCTCAAAATTGAAGAAAAATGTTGAAATTGTTTTAACCCTAACCCTGCCAGATGCAACACAGTGCATCAGGTGGAAAATAACTGGTGCACTTTGATGCATTCAGCTACCAACATCAATGCATGAATGGCCAGCTCTGAAACAGTGAGAGCTAGGTCCCATTGAACAATGCCACAGTTGTATGCTGCCTGCGGTACGGTGACCACAGACTCTGAGGCAGTTTGGCCTTAAAGACTTTTCCCCTGATGGATCTTGCTACATTTGGCAGGCTTGTCACTTAGACAAGTGGTGCATGTTGCTACGTTTGGCACGGTTCTAGCAAACATACGCTGGAGGGTTAGGGTTAAAGATATTCCTAAACTACAAGATCTTAGTGGTATATGATGAAAACGGCATTGAAAAAACCCATTGCCATTTATTAATTTAGGCTTTATTTTCAGCACCGTTTTCACCATATACCACAAAGATGCTGTAGTGTAGGAGTATCTTGAAACAATTTTAATGTAATGTGTCTCCCCAATTCCAAGAAATCTGCATTTGAAAAAGGTGTAAACCTTTTTTGGACCACCCCTGTATATAACAAAGACAAGAGAGAGAAAGTCAATATTTATATTAGGTTTTGCCCTTAAAGAGAAAGTAATTTGTATCACTAACAGTCAACAAGAAGTGAAACTTTGATCTTATATATGCTTCAGTTTGGTTTGGCTTCGGGTCTAAACTAAAATTTTTCACTGATCGCTGACAACATCAAATCCAAATTGCATTACAAAACTTTTTCTGATTATTTAAAAGTGGGCATGTATCTAATTAATTTTTAAACGGAAGGCATAAATTTAGTCAGCATTCGAATCCAAGAGCTTTACAAGAAATCGCCCAAAGCCAATGATGAAACAACAAATTGGAAAACATGTTTAAAATCTGAGTCCTGGATAGTATTATGTGTGTTCCAGAACCATAAGGTGGGAGTCTGTGACATGTTGTATGTTTGAACATGACAAGCGGCCGATGTACCGTACTGACATCACAAAGAGATGTGAACATAACTTTGCACCGTAGGTCATTACAAATAACTAGTCATTGCAAATAGCTTTTACAAAGTTTTGCTTTTTTTGGGGGGGGGGGGAGAGGACTTCAGTCTTTTTAGCCTTTGCTCGAGTCGAGTCTTCTGATGAGGGACTCGAGATGAGTTGAGTCATTTGCTTGCAGTGACTTGAGTCAAGTCGAGTCATTTACCATTAGGGACTAAAGTCGAGTCGAGTCACCAAAAATTGTGACTTGAGTCGGACTCGAATCGAGTCAAGTCGAGTCATTTACCATTAGGGACTAAAGTCGAGTCGAGTCACCAAAAATTGTGACTTGAGTCGGACTCGAATCGAGTCAATCACTCGTATCATTACAACTCTGGGTTGGAGGTTATATCTAATCCAAGCAGGCGGATACTAGTACATTCCTGTAACGGTAAGGATCCAGAAATAAGTCAGGGAGGGATGGGGATCTTGAGCTGGATAAATGCAGCAGATGAGTCTTCTATGGATTGAAGGTAACAAGCCAGTCATTACCCCAGCCAACAACATTCTCATGATCCTGGCTGAGAGTAGCACTACAGGGTGGTTAAAAAAAAAGGACACCCACATTTGACAGCTATTTTCACCTAATTTTAAAAATTATTTTTAACTGTCGATTAGTAGCTATTAAAGTACTGGCCTTTAAGCAAATGTGACGAAAAAATCGTTGCATTTGCACATTTTGTCGTTGAGCTATGCTAATTTGAACATTTCATGTGCGAAACCTGTTTGTCAACGGAGGTATACATTCCCTTCCCTTGACTGAGCTCAGTTATCGGAGCTTTATTTGAAAGGGCATGACATTTGATTGTTATGTAATGTTATGCAACAATGAACTTAAGCCGACAGCTCATTGAGAAGATGATCTTAACACTGACATGAATAATAATGGGACAGCTTCAATAAAAATTATTGGGGCAAAATATATTTTGGTGGGAAGGTTCTTTAATTTTTATGAACTACGAAAACGTCCAATTTACATAGAATAACCCGTGGACAAGACTGATTTTGGTGACTTGTATTCAAATTAGCATAATGCTATTTTTGTGACTTTTACTAAGCTTTTTTCACCATGCATGGTTAAAGGCCTATACTTTACTACCATGTAAAAAAATGTTTTATAATAAATTCTTGAAGTAGGTGAAAATTGCTGTCAAAAGTGAGTGTCCTTTTTTTTTAACCACCCTGTAGTGAGGAGTTGACAAAGAACACTGTTGAATCGTCAGCATAGATGGCTTTGATAGGGTGCAGTCAGATAGGTCATTGATGTACAATATAAACAATGTAGGGCACAATACAGAACCTGAGGAACCCTCGGCATTAATGCTATGAGTAGGGGGAGAATGGACCCTCATGAACAACCGAGAGACAACGATGAGCAAGAAAATCAGAGATTGTGGCAATTAATTGACCAGCGATACCACAGGATTTCAATTTGTGAATGAAACCCTTGTGCAAAATGTTATCAAAAGCCTTTGAGTTGTCAAGGGCCACAAGCCTGGCTTCACCATGTTGATCCAAGGCCCTATTCATATGCTTGGAGATTAGAGCTAGGACATCACCAGTACACTGTGAGTGCCGGAAGCCATACTGGGCATCAGTTAACAGATTGTGGTCCTCCCAATTGATCTAGGAGATGCTGGTAGATAAGGTATACGAACGCTTTACTCATGTAAACATGTAGCAAGTAGGTTAATAGGCCCATAATTAGAGGGATCAAACTTCTCACAAGAACCATTGAACACCAGAATAAAAGATGCCAACTTCCAACTAGAAGGAAACTCAGACTTTGATAGACATAGATTGTACAATTTTGTCAGAACAGGGGACAATTCTAGAAAACTCTGTGTCAAATTCAAACTTATTTTCAATTTTGTATTGGCATTTTCAAGGGTGTTTTGGTGCCATTTTGTTTTTATGCTCATGCGTTTTCCATATTCATGAGCAAAAAAGTAATGTCATTTCGAGCAGAAACTCAATGTTACATTTTTTAGCACAAAATGTAGCTAGAATTTTGAATATTTTACTGCTGTAATTTTATTTTCTTTGGTAATCCGTTGTAGTGTCAGTACATGGCAGAAAGCCAAAGACCAAACATTTCTCACAAATGTTTTCAAAGAGCAATTGTTTGGATTTGACAATTTGAACAGAAACCCCTAAACTGAACAGCGTCTTCCTGAAATGACATTACAGCAACAGCGCCCTGAGTTGTCCGGAAAAGCATGGAACATTTTAAATGTTTAAAAAAATGCATTTTTTAATAAAATTTACCAAAATGGAATGTCCAATAGTTTTCATACATTTAAGAGAAGTAGAAAGTTTTGCACAATGTGTTCCTATGAAAAAATCATCGCATTGACCCTATTATTGATGGGAGAAGAGCGCAACTCAGGGATGGGGAACGTTGGCTGGTTACAGTTGAGAACGCTATTGGCAATCCTCCAAAAATCACTGCTTCTAAGACATTGGGTTAAGATGAAGTCACAAATTCCTTGCTGCTTGCATTCCCAATGTGCATTCTAGCTAATGACGTGCCAAGGGTCTTCGTGGAACTATATATTTAAACATGAGAAAAGCACAAATTGTGTTTATTTTGAATCACCCCCCCCCCCCCCCCACAGTAGTGTAGTTGGGGTCTACAAGCGAATACTTACCTGTAGAGCGAATACTACCTATGCATTGTTCCCTATGCCGGCAGGCAATTTGCTAAGAGTTTTACATGCAATAGCGCCCTCACGTGTCCTACCCACGACGCCCTGTGACATGCGCACTACGTTAGCGTCCTCTTTTTCTCAAGCGTTACCTGCGTAAGCACTCAAGGAATCGAGTATAGTGGGGAAGGAGGGAGGTGTGCTCTACAGGTAAGTATTCGCTCGTAGACCCCAACCACACTACTGTGGGAGGGGGGGGGGGGGAGTCTACATCACTCTACTTACCTGTAGAGCGAATACTACCTATGCATAGACTTGCACCGAGTAAGGCGGTGGGTATACGCGAATTACCGTATGTCTACAGGGGCGTAGGACATAAGGCGTGTCCGACGGCAAACAAAACAAAACAAAAACCCAAAACCCCAGACGCTCTAGCTCGTGTGCAAAAGGTCAGGGGGGTGTCACCATTATGGGGATAAACACATGATAGGTACACCTCATTGGACTTAATGTATATATGTATATGCTCACCCGTTAGTGCTTCTGTGAGGCTCGACTGGCCGCCTTCAGCACTTCTCTTCCAGCCTTGCCATCTGCCTGGAGGACACCCTTCAGGTAGCATTCGGAGAACGTGTTAGGGTTCTTCCAGCAGGCTGCCTTGACGATGTCACCTAGGGGGACACCCTTAAAAAAGGCCCACGAGGTGGACACTCCCCTGACCTCATGCGCTCGAATGGGTCCCTCGGTCGCTGGCCAGCCGCCCGGTACGGAACGAATGGCCGTCACGATCCAGCGGGTGATTGTATCGCGGGACGCCGGCCCAAAGGGCGGGGTCGTTGTGATGAACAATTTTCCGTGTCCCGTACGAAGTGACATACCACTTAAGTGCTCGGACTGGGCACCAAAGTTTGTCGTTTGTCTCGGTCGAAAAAGACTTGATGTCCGGGACAAAGATGTCTGGGGGCGTAAAAGCTTCCGACTGGTTCTTTGCAAGAAAACCGGCCGTAGGGATCAGGCGGACACCCCCCGGTTCCCACCGGATGTGTCCTGTCTGCACCGACAATGAGTGTAGTTCGCTACGTCGTCGGGACGTAGAGACAGCCAACAGAAAAACTACTTTGATGGAAAGTTGTAACAAAGTTGAGCAATCCATTGGTTCAAAAGGGGCCTTCGCCAGAGTGGATAGTACACTGAAGAGGTCCCAAGATGGAATTAATGTGCGTACTGGGGGACGAGTATTAAACATCCCCTTGATCAGTTGGCTGATTGCAGGGTTGCCGGAAACGGAAGAACCGTCCAGAAACCCTTGATGAATCGCGGCAACGGCCGATCGATAATTTTTTACCGTGGCCGTCGTGAGCCCACTGTTAAAAAGGTCTAGGAGGAAATTCCCCACTTCCCTTACAGAAGTATTGGGGGGATGAATGGATTGCCGTCTCCACCATTTAAAGAAATGGCGTAGTCGGCTATCGTACACCTTTCTGGTTGAGGCTCTGCGGGACTGGGCTGCAATTGTTGCAGCTCGTCGCGAAAGGCCTGCTGAGCAGAGGGATCGCGTGACAATACCCAGCACGTCAGGTGAAGATCCCCCGGAGCCTGGTGACTGATTCCCGAACTGGGCTGATAAAGGAGATCGGCCCTCCTCGGTAGAATTACCAGGCGGTGAACCAAGAGCCGGACGAGCCAGGGGAACCACGGCTGGCGGGGCCAGAACGGGGCTATAAGGAGGATTCGGCAATCCTCCTGCTCGATCTTGGTCAGCACTCGAGAAACGAGGGAGATGGGTGGGAAGGCGTAGGCCAGTAGGCCGTCCCACCGCACCGACAGTGCATCAGTCTGCCACGCGTTGGGATCTGGGCCCCTCGTGCAGTAGATCGGTAGCTGATTGTTCATTCACGACGCGAATAGGTCCACATGAGGCCAGTCGATTAGTCAGAAGATCGACTGAGCCACCTGTGGGAGCAGCGACCACTCTGTCGGGGCGATCCAGCCTCTGGAGAGAGCGTTGGCTGTGACGTTCACGCATGCCCATGTGTGCCGCCGAGTCCATTCTACGGGTGACATCCTCTAGCTTTCCACAGCACTTGTCCGTAAAGGGAACCTTGGAGGAAGCCGTCCCTCGGTCAGCGGCGAGTTTGTCGATGGCCGAGTCCGGCAGGACTGGAGTTGAAAAATATTTCTCAAAATCCCCTTGGGAAAATGATAATAAGAGTCTACGTGCTTAGCGTAGGCACTCCATGTCTTTGCGTGCATTATCCCGTCTATGTGGTCAACGCGCACACGGTCCAGCGGCATTGTGGGAAAATCCCGGACCGGTTCTGCCGTCGGTCCCGATCTCTTCTTGAACGACTGACGCTCAGGAGGAGGAGGTTCGGTACCAGCAGGGAGATTCAGGACCCTGATCATATCCCGTTGAACCAGGCGGAGTTCAGTCTCAGCCACCGATAAGCGTTGCATGGTGCGGGTCAGTTCGCTCTCGTCCGCCGAGTTGTCAGAGTACGGGGGGCGAGTTGTCACCGGGGAATGGGAACCAGGCCTTGGGGGCGAAGCAGCGCCGTCACGGTGTCCCGGTATCGAGCCCCGCTCGGACTCTAGTGACACCGATGGGTGTAAACTAATACCGGGCGGTGACGCCGCTGCACGGCTCTCCGTGCGCGGCATTGTCCGCTGGCCTGTAGTCACCCCACCACGGCCGTGATGACTGGCGGGTGGGGGCTGTAATTCTGGAGGGGACTCTGGCACACGGCTAACCATGTGTGGTATGTCCCTTTGGCCCGGAGTCATCTAGCTGTGACCGTAGTCTCCCTGCCAGCCCGACAATGAGGCCGCGAGGGAGTGAAAAGCCTCCCAAAAATCATTGCGCAAAATCGAGTCGCCACCCTTGTGGCGTTTCCCATGGTGTGATCGACCGGATGACCCGCTAGAACTCATCAAAGAACGGCAGAAACGGCGGTTCTTTTTCGCTTTTTTCTTTTTTGAAGATCGACTCCGAGTAGTTTTCTCCCAGCAAAGAGGCATAAATAAAACAGTGAAATTCAGGTCGATTGAAATTTCACGATATACCTCGCCAGCGGCTAAGAGAAAAAGAGGACGCTAACGTAGTGCGCATGTCACAGGGCGTCGTGGGTAAGACACGTGAGGGCGCTATTGTGTGTAAAACTCTTAGCAAATTGCCTGCCGGCATAGGGAACAATGCATAGGTAGTATTCGCTCTACAGGTAAGTAGAGTGATGTAGACTGACAAATTTACATATTACTAAGAAGAACTTACCATGCTTTTTGTCTTCTTCATCATCATCTGAGCTATCTCCATTGTTGTTTTGGTCAGCAGAAATGTTATTAGACAAGTAAACCAGATTAGTTGTATCCTCTTTCTCACTGTTCTTATGGGTTGTATTACTCATGTCCACACTGCCTGACTGTAAAACAAATACAAGTACCAAATACGTGATGTGAAAAGATTTGCAGGCTTCAAGTTATTTTGTCATTTTGCCACTTAGACAATAGTAAGTATGTTGATATCTTTGGTGTTTAACCTAACTAAACTTCATCATATGGGACTGTATTACAATTTCCACATATTTATCACACTTTGAAAACAAACTATCTTCCTTTTTAATCACAGGACATCAATATAGTCCATGCAATTGTCAATCTGATTATTTTCCAGGATAAACAAGTAAGTATCAAGATCTTTAAAGAACTTACTTGCTCCAATCTTGACGACAGCGCAGACAACATCACAGTCAGCTTTTCAGTTTGAACAAGATCAGAGATTAAGAGGAACACATCCAAAAGCAGTTTTAGAGTTGCCATCTCAGATTCCTACAAGAGAAAAGTGGGGAAATAATATACAAATATTGAATGCTTCGAGTGGTGTAGTAAAACTAGCCTCCCGAGGTGATCCATGGACCATTCTATTTTCCCGAGGCGAAGCCGAGGGAAAATAAAATGGTCCATGGATCACTGAGGGAGGCTAGTTTTACTTCACCACGAGATAAAGCATTCAATATTTGTTTTATAACACTTCACCCACAGATTCTGCTTGGTTTTAATATCTTAAATTATTTAAATCTGAACACAGTTGAAATAAACTTCAATTTCAATACAAAATTGGTGGAAAATGTATTTCTCTCTTCGAAACTACCCCTTCACGATATGTTTGAACCCAAGTCTGCGGCGCGCTCTCTTTGGAACAATACGCGCTACGTGCAACGCGCAAGGCGCACACCAGCATCCATTTGCACACAAATACTGCGCCATGGAAATAGTACTTTGGTTGCTAATGGTATAATACTTTGGTTGCTACGGGTATAGTACTTTTGGCAGTGCACAGAAAGATAGCAAAATTAGAAAGTAACATGTGACTCGCTCTCGGCCAATCAAGACACAGAATCTGTGGGTGAGGTGTTATAATACTGATTAGTAGATCAACAAACTTGTCTAATGTTAAGACAGCATGAGTTTACATCAAGATCACATCAAGATAAAAACACTCCCCAATTGAGTTGACAATCAGAGGGAGCTAAAATTCCTGTTACAAAGTCGGTAGAAAAAAACAGCTTGGCACTCATGAAAATGCACCATAGTTCTTTGTTGGGATTGCATAAGCATTACAGATTGGCATCAGCTGATAGGAGCCACAGAAGGAGCATTCTGGTTGCAGTCCCTGCTTCACTTTTACCTGTCAATCCTTCCACCATGCTACACACTCTCATTTACTTACAACCCATGTGAAATACTAGGAAGAACTGCACAGTAAGATGATAAATCAACCAAATAAAGACAAAGATAAGAGTTTGAAGGTTTGGTAATAATTAAGGCCACAAGAGTAATTTTTTCAGAACCGCAATGACACACCTCACAAACAACTTTTTTTGTTATACCTCGGTAATAGATCGTGAAGTATCACTGGTTGAGAACCAAGCACGTGATGTGCCAGAAACATGCATGTATGGTGTCAGGGTACACCCCGTGGTACATGAGTGATGTACCCCATGGGGGACATTACCTTGACCGTCCCCACTGTTGAAAGTGTTGTTTCTATCGCCTTGTATAATAGAAATTGTCAGATGGAAAAACCAAGAAAAACAATCATTTTCCTGTAGTCTGGTTCCCTGACTCTATATAAGAAGAAACAGAGCAGTTTACATACATTGGGGAATTGTAAGGTCAGGGAACCAGTCTAGCTGGCTTGTACCCGTTCATAGGTGTGTAATCGATTGCAAACAAGTGCGATGGTCAATTGGGGCCAGTATTTGAAAAAAAAAGCCAGTTTTTTCCAACACTGGTCGGCCGACCAGTGTTGGAAATTGATACAAAAATACCACTTTTCTTGAAAATGACAGTATACCAGGTGTCATGATTTTACAGGATGCTTTACACTGTCATTCACTAACAGTGAAGCAAGGTATTTCAAAATGATTTGGTAGTTTTATTTTTTTGATGTTTGCAAATGTTGTATTTTCCCTTTAAATGTACGAACACTATTTGACATCTCCTTTTGGTTAATTTTATTGAAAATGTGTACTTTTGTACACATTTAATATTTCCCATGCTTTTCCAGACAAATGCGGATGCTGTTGCTGTGATGTAATTTTCTGGAAAAAACTGTTCCATTTAGGGGTTTTCTGTTGAACCCAAATTTGCTCACTGAAAAGTTTGTGAGAAAACTTTGCCTACTGGCTTACTTCCAATTTCTGAATTAACAACAAATTTATGAAAGCAAATTTAGAAAAGCAAAATTACGACAGCAAATATCCGAAATACTGGCAAATTTTGGTGCTGAAATAGCTGTTACATTGAGGTTTCTGCCTGAAATGACATCACACTTTTGCTTATGAATATGGAAATTTGCACTAGCATAATAGCCAAGAAGGAACAAAAATGCCCTTAAAAATGGCAAAATGGAAATAAGGTTAATGGGATGTAAAGGTGCATTTTTAAGGACTGCATTAAAAAATTACATTACATGCCCTTTAAGGACTATTCCAAATGGGAAAGGAACATTCTGAGACCCTTGTGAACAAACCTTCAACTTCTTACCTTGTCTGCAACCAAAGTTGTTATCTCTTCTACAGCAGCTTGTACATTATGGATTAACTCCTTCTCCTCATGATCCTTAGATTGCTGCATCCATCGGTAAATCTTTTTCCCAATAATCACACATCTAGTCAACATAGATGAAATAAAATTCATAAATATTTAAGCCTTTCAACAGTTCCAGTTGTTGCGTAGGTCAATTCAACATGATTCTGCACGCGACCCTCACAGATTGAAATGATATTTGGTGTGATGATTGGCCTATAATGAGAAACCCCCCAGAACTGAATTTTTCTGTAACTTGGCTTGTTAGTTTTTGAGATACAGGTCAACAAACTTTTGACTACAAAACTATAGCACCTACTAAGCCAAGTTGAACATCATATTAAAGCTCTTTAATGGCCTACAAATCATAAAAATAAAACCAAAATCGTAGCATGAAGCGCAAAGAAATATGTAACTAAATGACCTTTGACCTTGAATTACGAATATAAATATGCTTCAAACTTTGTAAATTGTTTGTAGAACCTAATATGAATATATGTACATACAAATGTACATACTGCATGTGCACGTTGACCTGTACATACTTGCCCTTTACAGCCCTAATGTGTTGTGTCCACGTATGGGCACATATCCTCTTAGTAGATATTCTTGCCCCGAGGTGCCTAACAGCCCTCCCCTCCCCCCCCCCCCTCCCCTTGCCCCCCCCCCCCCCCCCCCCTCTAAAATCTTGAATTGAAAAAAAAATCATCTCATTTGGCCAATATATCATTTGCCGGGTTGCACCATATTGAAATATGTATGCAATCCAGGTGCCCCCCCTCCCAAGCTCACAACACATTAGGGCTGTCAAGGGCAAGTATGTATAGGTCAACGTGCACTTGCTGTATGTACAAACTTGCACGTGTAAATATATGCAAATCAGGTTTTTTCCTGGCATGCTATCTTTAAACAATCACCACTTGAAAACTATAAAAGCGCCCATCACAAAATACTCCAAGATTGTTAGGAATGGCATGTGGCTAGAAATAGGTTTGGAAGAGTATGTGAGGGGCAAACAAAGAAAGATAGACAAGTCTTGAAAAGAATAAAAATGGTCTCAGAACAAATGACATGCACTGTGTCAACAGAGTGGCATTTAGCCCATGCCTGTGCACTATGGAGTACCGAAGTGAATACGTCACGCGCACACAAAGTGTGTAAAAGACATTAGCACATGATTCAGCCCGAGAACCAACAAGCGCGTACTCTATTTGTTTGCACTACACTTTCTGGTTCTAAATGACGTCACACTTTGGTACTACATACACATGTATTTATTACTGCCTCTTTAATTTCCATAACCTCATAATTACAATGCACTCATTGTGCCATCATGGAAATTAGGTCTATTATAATAATAATAATAATTATAATAATAATGTGGGAGGCTAATCATCCTTACTCACAGCTGGTATGCTGAATTGCGAAGGATGCGGCTACAATGTGGTCGGGCCGCTGGCACGTAAAGGCGCCTATGGCTGCCGGCCACATCGACCCATATATGACCACGGAGCACAGCCTGAGATCGAAAGTGTTTGATTTTTCCGGAGGGAGGAAAACCGGAGGGCCCGGAGCAAAACCCTCGTGGCACAGGAGAGCATACCTGCCAACATTGAAAAGTCAGAAAGAGGAACAGGGTGCCTACACATCACACACAGTGAGCGGCGCAGGCGCAGGCGCAGGCGCTCGTGCTAATGGGTGGGGTCCAGGGGCAATCATACAAAACTTGATGTTTACAGGGCCTCTACTGGTGTATAGAATGTTGACTGGTGAATAGAAATATTGGAAGGATGAAAATCACATCAACAGAAATTACAAAATATATCATACTTGAAGTGGCAGCATTTTCATAATTAATACCCATTACTGGTCTCCTGTGGAACTGGTAGATGGTTGGCAACCATGGTGTTTTGATGTGTCTGTTGAGGTCATTTAGTCCTCCACTTGAAATCTTTATGTCCGATCGACAAACCGTGCATAAAGCGTATGAATGATTCTCCTCTTCGTGAAGCTTTTATGAAGTGAAATTTTTCACGATATTCCTCTCAGAATTTTTGACTCCTTCGCTGCTTTTGCTTCTTCAGTATCCTCCTGGTCCATGTTGCAGTTGAGATGCTCATACAAAAACGTTGACAAAAAGGTGCGACTCAGCACGTTCAAAATATCAACGAAAAACCACCGAAGACTATGAAGAAACAACGTGTGTGGAAAACAAACATGGCATCAATATGTCCACCGCGCCGTGCCTGGCCCGCGCTTAATTCAGTAAGCACGCAAGAGAGGCAGTACACCAGACGGATGACTAGCGGGTCTCAGTTCGCGTCCAAATTATTGGCTGCGGCTAGGTTGTGGCCGATCGCACAAGCCTGCTGTGCGATCGGCCGCAGCTGCAGCCTATTCGGACATGGCCTGTTCAATGACGTTTGAGTCTGGTTTACGTCCCTTTCGTCGTACATAAGAGCGAGGTGGATTTTATACCATTATGGTAGCGGCAATAGTGCCCTCAATACAATAAAACATTTTTCTCGGACAAGTGTGTGACGGGGCCAGGGCATTTTTTTACTTTTTTTTATTTTTTCATTTTTTGTATTATTTCTTCTCTCACAACTCGGAAAATCGGGACGTTCCGATTTTCGGGCACTTTTTATCTCCGAAATCAGAACAGTTCCGCCTAAATCGGAACAGTTGGCAGGTATGGGAGAGAACCAACGCACAACTCTACTCACATGCGATCCGCGGCCAGGATTCGAACCGTGGTCACCTTGGTGAGAGGCGAGCGCTTTACGCACAAGCCACCCAAACCACCCTACCCACCCTAATCCTTCCCTGCACACCTGTGACATATATAGGATATACATGTAGATGAACAGCCGAGTAGAGGATATAGATCGCCGTTAACATTGTATGTTTACACATTTAACAGATTTTTTTTTAGATTTTATCCAAAAGATTGTTCAACTGGACATTTACTATAAACAATGGTACAAAAACGTGTCACATAAGAAAACTCACCCATCTAATAGACATTTTGTGATCTGAGAATCCTGGGAATAGTGTCTCAGCATGTGCAGCAGGACTGGCAACAAACTGCATGCTCCCTGCACACAGCAACTCTGAAGAAAGGTAGGTATCAACTGATGTAACTCTGTCAGCATGTATCGCTCCACTTGGTAAGCTGGGCATTCTAAACAGTCTGCTTTAGACAAGCAGCTAGGAATAATAAATGATGTACCATTCAAAATGACAGCTATACTTCACATTATCACTTACATGTAAAACACCTTGGACAAATACTGAATGTCATACAAAATGGGTATATTGACCTACTAGTCTACAATGGCTTTATTTGGGTCACCTTCATTCACCCACAGATGCAGGCATGCAACTGGGAATGTAGAAAAAAATGAGGAAATTCCTAACCACACAAGACTTTGTATAGTGTTTTTCAAATTGTAATGGCATTCATAAGAAGTAACAAACGAGGAAATCAGCGGATCCGAGGAACAGTTGCATGCCTGCAGATGTGGTAGGTGATGCCGCCCTGTCATGCTGGCTGCACCTCCAACATTACTCTTATTTTGTCACCTTTTCCAGGTGTTTATGACTTTTATTAAAATCTATAACTGTACTTACGTCTAGATATCCCTAATTTGTTATGTTGTGAGTTTTCGTTGTTTCTACAGACTGCTTTCCAGGGACATTAGTGTTCTTTGCATAATTCATGGCCATTTGTATTATTGAAAGAAGATGTTGATGAATAAGTGTAAAAGTGCGAATGTGAATAAGTGTTTTTGCTGGTTTTTCCCAGTATCTACACACCCAATTGTCAAACAAGTCAGTGAAACATATTTGCTATAAAATACTACCCCCCAAATCCATCAATTTCTGAAAATTACAGCAAAAAGCAAAATTTCATGTTGTAGGCCTATATTACCTTCAACTAAAACAATGCTAAATGATCATAACAGACTTAATAGAAGTCTTACCTCAGGTATCCCTCAATAGGTGATTCAAATATCCTGGAACTGCTTTGTAATGAATGTAGCTGGCTTAGAGGATGCAGTGGGTGTGCATGACAGAACACGTGTAGAATCTTCTTCAGAACTGCTACTTCATATTCGTATTGCTATATGTTTCATATGTATACAAATAATTTTAGTTTAGACATTTTAATATGCATAAAATTGAAACATGGAAATGATATCTCATACAGTTCAAAAACTTCATTCAACATGTACAATGAATACATGTATTCATATTATTTAATTTAACATTGTCAATCTGGGACACAATTTTCAAGTTGTTTCTCATTTCTATCAGCTAAAATTAGTAATCCATAAGAAATCTTAGAATGAACATGAATTCACAAACACTTATCTATCGGTGCGCCAACAAAAGAGGGTGCGTTTTACTATGAGAAGGAAAAAGAAATCGTATTTTTTTTACGCCTGTCATTTGATTGAAAATATTCCCAAGAGTCAGAATATCAAGTAATATTTGATAAAAATGTTTCAGTTTAAAGGCAAATCACGTATTTAAAGGTGCAGTGTTTCTGCTGTTGGATTTTTAACCCATTGACTTTTATTTGTACACGTTTTCAAGCCACCATTTTTATAACTTGGCGATCTGGAATCGTCACCAAAGTTACAGCCAAGGAAGACCCTCATAAAAAAATTCTGCCTAGACTATGACGTCACGATGACGTCATCACCTAATTTTTTATTGATTTTTGAAAATTTACGTACATATTGTGAGGTCTTATATCTACAGAAATGTAAGTCGGATTGGGTTGAAACTTGGTATGTGGCTATACCAGGATGTGTTATAGATTAAAAATGAGGTGACATCATGATGACGTCATCCTGAGATTTTATATGAATATTTATTTGTTTGGACCTTTTAGCCATATCTCCCGAACGCAACATGCAAAATGCAAAATTCTTTTGACAGATTTTATGTTCATGAATATTCAGGGATATTATTGATTAAAAAAAATCATAATGCGGAAAAGCCCTATGTTCTGTTGCAAACAGACATAGACCTCTAGTTTTTCTTTCTTCTTCTTCTTCTTCTTCTTCTTCTTCTTCCTCTTCTTCTTTTTTCCCCAAAACCCCATAGACTTTGTACACGTTTATTCTACACGCCACTTTTGCCCTTAAACTTTGTTGCATATCGTTCAAAGTTTGCATAGACATAGTCCATACAGCATAGATGTGTGCGGACGAGCGACGTCATGATGACGTCATCATGGGTCACGTGACGTCATCATTAATATGCATATTACAAAGTCCTATATCTACAGAACTGTCAGTCCGATTGTGTTGAAACTCAGTATGTAGGTAGATCGGGATGTGTTATAGACGAAAATTGAGGTGACGTCATCATGACGTCATCGTGTGATTTTATATAGATTTTTGAATTTTTAGACCTTTAAGCCATATCTCACTAACGCAATATGATAAATTCAAAATTCTTTTTGTATTAGGTTCGCTGGGCAATAGATAAATGCACAAAATTTGGAAAAATGTGTGACGTCATAATGACGTCAGCAAAAATGCGATTTTTTGAAACACATATAAGGGAATGTCCGATCGTCTTGAAACTTGGTGGGTGGGTAGATAATAACACTAGTACACAAAATCTCGAATGACGTCACGATGACGTCATCGGTCGATTTTTAAAGATTTTTTTAATATTGCCAATTTTATTCTGCTTACAAAATTTAACACTTTTATTAATCTGATTTTTTCCAAACTTGGTACAGACTAAAACCACAATAAAATAATGAGCACTGCCAAGTATTGTTATGATGACGTCATCATTAGACACGTGACGTCATTGTTAACTTGTATATTTTAAGCCCCTATATCTCATGAACAGTACATCCGATTGGGTTGAAACTTGGTATGGGGGTAGGCCGGGATGTGTTACAAATAAATATTGAGGTGACGTCATCATGACGTCATCGTGTGATTTTATATAGATTTCTGAAGTTTTGGACCTTTAAGCCATATATCACGAACCCAATATGTTACATTTAAAATTCTTTTTGTATTAGGTTTGTTAGGCAATAGGTATATGTACAAAATTTTGAAAAATGTGTGACGTCATGATGACGTCATCAAACATGCGCTTTTTTGAAACACATATAAGATAATGTCCGATAGTCATGAAACTTGGTGGGTGGGTAGATAATAACACTAGTACACAATATCTGAAATGATGTCACGATGACGTCATCAGTAGATTTTTTTACTATTATTTTAATATTGCCAATTTATTCTGCTTACAAAATTTAACACTTTCATTAATCTGATTGTTTTCAAACTTGGTACAGACTAAAACCGTAATAAAATAATGAGCACTGCCGAATATTGTTACAATGACGTATTCATTAGACATGTGACGTCATCGTTTGTATATTTTAAGCCCCTATATCTCATCAACAGTGATTTAGATTGGGTTGAAACTTGGTATGGGGGCAGGCCGGGATGTGTTACAAATAAATATTGAGCTGACGTCATAATGACGTCATCTTGTGATTATATATATATTTTATATATGACAAATGCAATATGCCAAAATCAAATTTCCATTTGAATGAGGTTTGTTAGACAAAACGTACATTGTAAATGCACACAGTTTTGCACAAAATCAGAAAAACATGACCTCAATTTGAAAAAAAAAAAAAAAATGCGGAAAAGCCCTATGTTCTGTTGCAAACAGACATAGACCTCTAGTTTTTCTTTCTTCTTCTTCTTCTTCTTCTTCTTCCTCTTCTTCTTTTTTTCCCAAAACCCCATAGACTTTGTACACGTTTTTTCTACACGCCACTTTTGCCCTTAAACTTTGCTGCATATCGTTCAAAGTTTGCATAGACATAGTCCATACAGCATAGATGTGTGCGGACGAGCGACGTCATGATGACGTCATCATGGGTCACGTGACGTCATCATTCATGTGCATATTACAAAGTCCTATATCTACAGAACTGTCAGTCCGATTGGGTTGAAACTTGGTATGTAGGTAGACCGGGATGTGTTATAGACGAAAATTGAGGTGACGTCATCATGACGTCATCGTGTGATTTTATATAGATTTTTGAAGTTTTGGACCTTTATGCCATATCTCACTAACGCAATATGATAAATTCAAAATTCTTTTTGTATTAGGTTTGCTGGGCAATAGATAAATGCACAAAATTTGGAAAAATGTGTGACGTCATAATGACGTCATCAAAAATGCAATTTTTTGAAACACATATAAGGGAATATCCGATCGTCTTGAAACTTGGTGGGTGGGTAGATAATTACACTAGTACACCAAATCTTGAATGACGTTACGATGACGTCATCGGTCGATTTTTAAAGATTTTTTTAATATTGCCAATTTTATTCTGCTTACAAAATTTAACACTTTTATTAATCCGATTTTTTTCAAACTTGTTACAGACTAAAACTACAATAAAATAATGAGCACTGCAAAGTATTGTTACGATGACGTCATCATTAGACATGTGACGTCATCGTTAACTTGTATATAAAAGCCCCTATATCTCATGAACGGTACGTCCAATTGGGTTGAAACTTGGTAATGGGGTAGGCCGGGATGTGTTACAAATAAATATTGAGGTGACGTCATCATGACGTCATTGTGTGATTTTATATAGATCTCTGAAGTTTTGGACCTTTAAGCCTTATATCATGAACCCAATATGTTAAATTTAAAATTCTTTTTGTATTAGGTTTGTTAGGCAATAGGTATATGTAAAAAAAAATTGAAAAATGTGTGACGTCATGATGACGTCATCAAACATGCGCTTTTTTAAAACACATATAAGATAATGTCCGATCGTCATGAAACTTGGTGGGTGGGTAGATAATAACACTAGTACATGACATCTTAAATGACGTCACGATGACGTCATCAGTCGATTTTTTTACGATTTTTCAATATTGCCAATTTTATTCTGCTTACCAAATTTAACAGTTTCATTAATCCAATTGTTTTCAAACTTGGTACAGACTAAAACCGCAATAAAATAATGAGCACTGCCAAGTATTGTTACAATGACGTCATCATTAGACATGTGATGTCATCGTTTGTATATTTTAAGCCCCTATATCTCATCTACAGTAATTTAGATTGGGTTGAAACTTGGTATGGGGGCAGGCCGGGATGTGTTACAAATAAATATTGAGCTGACGTCATAATGACATTATCTTGTGATTATATATATATTTTATTATGACAAATGCAATATGCCAAAATCAAATTTCCATTTGAATGAGGTTTGTTAGACAAAACGTAAATGCACACAGTTTTGCACAAAACAGAAAAACATGACCTCAATTTGAAAAAAAAACATAATGCGGAAAAGCCCTATGTTCTGTTGCAAACAGACATTGACCTCTAGTTCTTCTTCTTCGTGAAAACGTTCAAGTTTAACTTGCCATGGCCTCCCAGACTAATCCTCACCCACAATAACTTTAGATCATTCGAAATACGCAGTGGATGGACCGGGAGCCAGTCTAGGTCTCCCCCAACTCTCCTTTTCTGGCCGTTGAAGGAGTACTCATGCACGGAGCCCGTACATAAAGCTATTAACTTAATATTGTCCCTCTTTTGTTTGTACTAACTTTTTAGGAATACCTCCCATATGTTTTGTACACAAATCCAAATTAGGGACCCTTTGGGAATTGGAGACCCTATTGTCTTCTATTGTTCAACGTTCCCTATTGAATGCAGAAACAACCTCACACACACACAGACGGATAAAGCAGGAGTATGCCCCTTCGGCTTTGCCGGCGGGGCATACAAATATTCTATTAACATGACCACATGTGCACATGTGAATATTTCTACTGACTGCTGTTCAATTACTACTATTCTTACCTGAGGGAGTAAGTCAGGTAAATAAGCTTGCGTTGTCATGATGATTTCCAAGGTAACCACTGTAAGTTGATCTACTGATGTACGTTCAAGCAAAGAGAGAATGATGCCACACCATTTAGGAAGGCCTTCTGCGACTGCCGTTATGATTGGCAATGTTATTCCTCGGCATACATCTGGATCCTGCAAAGCCAACAGATGGAAAACAGTTCCACTCATTTGAGCAATAGCTTCATTTCCTTGACATCCTTAAACTTGTTTTCCATTGATTTCTGAACTTGACATGCTAATGATACATGAAAAGTGAGTCCAGTCCATTGCTCTGTGTTCATGAAGAATGTCCGTTTGTATTTATTGTTCTCAATGAAGAGACAACTCCTAGCTGTCCAATCTCAAATAACCTAAGAACCTCTACTTTCTAATCCTAGTCATTACAAGAACCGATACCAACAAACCAACCCAGGCATCCCTACCAAAGGTATGATATTCGACCCTTGAAGAAAAAAATAAGTAAATCTAGCCAGAATAACAATCACCGACTCAGTCCAAAGCGTAGTTCCATTCTGAGCCCCAGTCACCCCTACCATCAATGCCACCAAACCCATCCCAGTCACCCCTACCATCAATGCCACCAAACCCATCCCAGTCACCCCTACCATCAATGCCACCAAACCCATCCCAGTCATCCCTACCATCAATGCCACCAAACCCATCCCAGTCACCCCTACCATCAATGCCACCAAACCCATCCCAGTCACCCCTACCATCAATGCCACCAAACCCATCCCAGTCACCCCTACCATCAATGCTACCAAACCCATCCCAGGCACCCCTACCATCAATGCCACCAAACCCATCCCAGTCACCCCTACCATCAATGCCACCAAACCCATCCCAGTCACCCCAAGCATCAGTGTCACTGAACACATTGCAGTCCTCCCATGCAGCATCCCTGCAACCCAACATATCCCTGTATTGGAAAAGTGTCATGTACAAAATGACAGTTCTTACCTTCCATGATACAGGGGGATCATCTTTCAAGTGAACTAAGCGTACAACATGCTGAACAGAGACAGCCATAGTCAATGCTAAACCATAGCTCATTAGGGATGCTGTTGGTTGCAGGTAGTCATTCCATAGTGATGTCAAAACAGCCATATCATACCAGCGTACACATTCAGTGATCAAAGGTAGAGCCTTGTAACAAGCAAAACAATAAAACTGAATTAATACACACGTAGAATGGAAAATTTCAGAAGTAACTAATGCTAAAGTTTAATCAAGTTTTTCACACAGGAAAAAAATGTCTGTTAATGGTCTTAAATCCATAAACATGTACATGTATGCTATAAACATAGATGCTTTCAAAGGAGCTTCATGGTTATCCTCTCTTCCAAGAAAAAAGGTTCAACTTGGTACATACATGTAATTTGTTTAGGAATTTTCTTAACTCAATGAGTGCATTCTTTAAATCATTTGCGGAAATTCATCTTTACAAATTCCATTATGTCTATAACATAAACATTGGGGTCTTTAAGATTACACAATATACAAATATTGACTGCTTCAAGTATTGTAGTAAAAACTAGCCTCCCGAGGTGATCCATGAAGCATTCTATTTTTCCTGAGGCGAAGCCGAGGGTAAACAGAATGCTCCATAGATCACGAAGGGAGGCTAGTTTTACTACACCACGAGATAAAGCAGTCAATATTTGTTTTATAACACCTATCCCACAGATTCTGCTTCATTTTAAGAGATAACTGATCATATCTATACAGTTCATAAATACCTAAGACAGTTTACCAATTCCCATTGGTCGAAAGCCGTCACCTGACAGGTCTTAAACGTATGATAAAGACATGGCTGGCTGGTCTTAAACACTTTTCCAGTGTCTCATGAAATTTGGACTTCTATGAAATCCAGTGCTAGCACCGTTTTATTGGTTGAACGTTCACAATCCTCGCGTAGGCATGCGAAATACTGCCAGTGAGTCAGTGTTTCATAGTCCGAAATTCACAACACACTACCCACAGCTGCATCTACGCAACATCGCCCACGCACCAATCTCCATAGAAAGAGTTGTTTACGTTTTAAATAGTCCTGAGCTAGACACTTCATTATACAGCTAAAGGGGTGTTTCGGGAAAATATGAAGTATTGTAGTATGAAGTATATTTTTTGGCTTGTTTTGACTTTTGAACCGAAAGGTTTTAATTTTTTGACCGAAAAGATATTTATGAATGGGTATACATATGTGCTTGGTCTGTATTAAACACTATGTTTAAGACTGGTTGGAGTCTGGATGCTGATAATTACCCTTGCGTTCGCCCCGGGTAATTATCAGCATTAGACTCCAACCAGTCTTAAACATAGTGTTTAACACCTCCCAAAGACACATTTATTCCCTTATTAAAATGTACTTTTATTTGTATACAAAATAAGTTGAAAATTTACTTGCACCTTTCCAAACAACCCCTTTATGAAAACTTTGAACCTAGCTGCGTACCCCCACCCTTTTAATGCACACACCTGAATGCATAGTACTTTGGTTGCTACGGGTATACGGTAGCACATTGGTTGCTATGAGTATAGTACTTTTGGCCGTGCACAGCAATATAGCAAAAATAGTGAATGCCATATGATTCGCTCTAGGCCAATCAATCAAAATACAGAATCTGTGGGAGAGGTGTTATAACATGAAATATGCATCTCGTCTAGTTCATTAAGAATAACTACATGTACTATGTAGCCTACACTAATTCACTCTGTGCTTGGAATTGGGTCCTTCTTTAATCAAACCTGTTCATGATACACAATTTACCTGTTGGGCCATTCTTCGGACCTCCCATCTTCCATCTGCATGACAACTTATTGTTTGTAGCAGCATTTGTCGAAGTAATGAAGACAATGGTTGTAGCTCAACATTTTGTAGCCAATCTAGTTCAGATGTATCTTGATTTCCTAATACCCTGTTGTCATCAAACAATAATGTAATAACAGAATAACTATGCTTTTATATCAGACCCAGACTTCTATGGCACTTTGTTTTTAAGCTAAATGCACATTCAATATTACCACTGCAGATAAAAACAATTCAAATGTATGAAATAAGAAATCAATTGTAAGTCCAACCAATTTACATTTACTTGTTTAAAAATACAGGGTGATTTAAAAAAGGTAATGCAAAAATTGACTAGTATTTGAAAGTTATGAGCTCGAAAGGTGTCAAAGTGGTGCCATATTTAAGGGTAGTTGATTAGCTATCCATCGTTATTTGATTTGATTTGATTTATTTCTATTCATCATGCTTATAACATTTCAAATTAACAGACTTTACAACTACATGATGAATGGTGGAGGCTGGCCGAAGCCGAAGCTCGTAATTAGCCAGGCCATCAATTGGTCCTTGATGTCTTATTTACATCTCTGCTGTAACAGATGACGGAATACCATTAATTTCAAAACAAAGGCCCCCTCCAAAAAAACCAACGACAACAACAACAACAACTTTTCAAACTTTGCCTGATTCAGGGTGAATTGAGCTGATCAAAAACTGTGGTCACAATAAATAATGTGTCGAATGGGGAGGTAGACTTATATGAGCATAAACAGTATCATGTTTAATGATAAAATAAACCATTTTAAATCTTTTTTTCTTTTAAAAATAACTACATGTACCTAATGCCAAAATGTACTCAAGACATAGCTTGGGCACCAGCCCAACTTTGCATGGTTTTGGCTAATCCCAATCGCAAGATACAGGGCGAGTCAAAAAAGCGGAACCCAAACCCCAAATTTTATATTTCATATTTTAAAAAATATGTAGCCCCAAAATTATAATGACTGGAAAGCCAATGTTATAAGCTACTTTTAGATGAAAAAAATTACTGAAATTGCTCACTCTGTTCAAAATATATATCACCATTTAAACACAATGACCCAAAACCTGTCTCATCCAAAAATGCGATTTCAAAATTACAAATATTCAACAAAGTCCTTTTGAAGGCCCCGTCTTTAAAAAAACCAAAATGGATTATATAAATCATATTGTTTGCCTAACCAGGGTTGATAATAAAGATATTGTGTACTACAGTTGTTGACAGTTGTTGAAACAAGTATTCTGTGTCATTTTCTTTGATGCTCCAAACAGTCAAAACACACAATAAATTGCTTTTTTTTCTTTTCTTTTTTTGACTCACCCTGTATTTTTGCAAGCATTTTGAAATGAAATATATAATTTCACACTGTAAGATATTAATTATTTATGATTAACTCACTACTTGGTTTTGCCCTCGACCAACGTATTTTTATGAACAGTGTATACTCAGTGTTGTCCCTAGTGATTGAGAGAAAAAATCACTTGGGTGGGACTGTACTGTTCAGTGCTGTTGGGGTTCAATGAACTCATAGGCATTTCTTTTCATCTTCTCTAGACTGCTCACATTTTTCACAAATTGGAAAAATCCTGATCGGATAATCTGTGGATAATAAAATGTTTGCAATATTTGGTATATTCAGCACGGCTCTATAAGAAGAAAGTGCAAGGTAAAGCTGCAATTCGTATTGAAAACCCTTGAATTGGAACCGAAGGAATTCCCAGTGCTCCAGCCTGATAGGAACGTGTAGGTACACGTCCTTCAGGTCCAGACTGGCACCCCACGCTGGTGTGTGGATCGACTCGAGGATACAGAAGAGCTTCGGATAGATAAACCTGTTCAGGGGCTTTAAGTTTAGGATGAGGCGCCATACGTCGGCTCCTTCTTGGGCACCAAGAAGAAGGTCAACATGAACCCCGATTGCATCTCCCCCGCGGAGAGTGTGCCTACTGCTCATTTTCTGAGGAGGGAGTTGATCCCCCCTCGAGAGAACAATGCTTCGTTGGGTCGGACAAAACTGGTGTCGGCCGAAAGAGCGTGTCCAACGAGGAGGGTGTAACCACGACTGATTGAATCGAGCACCCACCTGTCAGACGTAATAAAGCCCAGGAAGCACGAGTTAACGGAGGGCAGGTGTCTGGGAACCGCGGCCGAGTTGGGGCCGTTGTTGTCCAGTAAACATGTTGTTGGTGTGGCCACGAAAATTACAATGCTTAGATTTCAGTGGTTTCGGCGGGGAGTAAAAACGGACGGTTTGATTTTATTCTGCACTACTTTGGCCTTTGGGGTTGGTGCTTCTTGAGGTTGATCTTCTCAGAAGCCTTCAACAGCTTTACCTGGACTTGCATGCAATCCTCAAATTTCCCCACAAAAAGATCCTTGCCCATCCGTTTAGATGCTGTGGCCCCTTCATCCGCCGCCAGCTTGTCTTTGGCTGCGTCGGAGAGGGCCAGTATAATCATATTCCTGTCTGGGGAATGGTTGCCATTAGTCGCGAGATATAACCTTGTGAATGCGATCAACACACAACTGATCTAAGGGGAGGATCAGGAACACCTTGTCATTGTTAGTGGTGGAACCCATCCTGAGCTTGAATGATTTATGTTCAGGCTGGGGGGTTCATCAGCAGCAGATGGCTGTAATACCTGAATCATGTCCCCTTGCACCAAACGGAGTTCTGTTTCGCAATGAACCATCGGAATGTGAGGGCCGAAATCACATTGGTAAACGAGAGCTGTCTGGCACTCTTGAAGGGGCAGGCAGCGCAGGGCCACTGGACCGTACCAGGGCAATGCCCTCGGAGACAACAGACATAGACGGATGTAAGCTCAATGCAGGTGGGGACTCCGGAGCATGGCTAACTGTGTGCGGTATGTCCCTTTGTCCCTGAGCCACCCGACCGAACCCAATGACTGTGAGGGCATTGGAGCGTGGCTCACCACTTCAGACAGGCCACCATTGGTGCCCGGCTGGCGGTTAGGAGATATGACCGTCAATGAAGCCAAAATCGATTGTATGGCTTGCATACAGTCCGCTCATGGAGATCGAGTCCTCACCCCGGCAGCATTTGCCCCAGTGGGATCAGTCTGATGAGTCCTCCAAGGCTTGAAGAAGAACTGTGTGATCATCGACCCGCCTTATTGGCTGTTTCGGCAACCAGCCGAAACAGCCCTTGTTTTCGTTAAAGTTTTTTTTTTTTCTTTTTTTTTTTTTCTTCATTTTTATTTTTCTTCTTTTTCAGCCATTCCCCATAGCATTTGTACACGTTTTTACAGTGGAAGGCACTTTGGGCAATAAAATCAATCCGATTGACTACCTACTTGACACACACTTAGACCAGTATCTGAAGATGTGCGCTGAACATTGACGTCATTATGACGTCATCACGTGCCAAGTTACGTCGCATTATATGTGATTTTTCTACGGTGACCATTTTCTAGCAGATTTCTGCTAGATCTGACAGATATATATTTTCAAGGCCTATATCTCCATAACTAAAGGTCCGATTGGGTTGAAACTTGGTATACATCCTAAACCGGGATGTGTTAAAGATAAAAATTTAGTGACTTCACGATGACGTAATAACGTGACATGTGACGTCATATTAAAAGTGCAAATTTTGAAGGCCAATATCTACAGAACTACAGGTCCGATTGGGTTGAAACTTGGTACATACCTAGACCAGAATGTGTTATAGATGAAAATTGAAGTGACATCACAATGACGTCATCACGTGACATGTGACGTCACATTGAAAGAGCATATTTTGTAGGCCTATATCTCCATAACTACAGGTCCGATTAAGTTGAAACTTGGTACGTACCTAGACCTGGATGGGTTATAGATGAAAATTGAAGTGACGTCACGATGACGTCATCACGTGACATGTGACATCATATTAAAAGTGCATATTTTGAAGGCCAATATGTACAGAACTGTATTGGTTCTAATCACTAACGCACATGTTGTCCTATCAGCCTTACATGACATAAAAATACAATACAAATTATTTTCCTTTTTGATAGGACGTCATCATGACGTCATCACGTGACATTGGACGTCATAATTCAAAGCCCTATGTGAATGTAATCACATATTTATATGCCACCATTTACATAACTACACATCCTTCCAGGATGGACCTTATACTTGAAACTATGTCACATACATGTCACAAAAAAAGTTACCGAAGCAGCCCTGTGTTTGTCCACAAACATAAATCTAGTTCTTCTTACTCTCCTTTCTTGAAGAACGGCCCAGAGTACATCCATTGAAATTTCGGATGACGCTTGGGGCGCCGGGACCCCCGCAAAACGGATAAAATTTGATGACAAGGGCAGTCCCTCAGAGTGGGATGTGATATCTGGGCAGTCCAGGGTTCCTTCAGGTGGCCCTCTCTGCATCACTCATACAAAAATCCTCCCCCCCCCAGCATCCTGTGGACACGGGGGATTCAAGCCCACTGATCCGTGGAGGCTATTCCCCTCAGGCCGCCCCGTATTCAGGGATGGGACGGAGGGTGTCGTGAAGCCCGTTTCAGAGCCACGTTTACCCTGTCGACCCTTCTAAGGTTTGGTTCCGGCACAGGAGTTTAAGTTTTGTTTAGTAACCTTGCTGGACCGCACCTTCTGTTTGGTTGTTCTGCTTGTGCTGGCCAGAGATGGAGACAGTTTCATGTTTCCTTCTCAGTCAACAGAAATGCCAGCGCCTGTAGCCGACTGTGGCTGTTGGTCACAGACAGGAGACTGCAAACACGGTAACAGCTCAGTGCTACCAGCAGCGACTCCCGAGAACTCGGTCTGTAAAAGTAGCATCAGGATGCAACTTGTTTCCTTGTTTCCCCCTGTCACAGTACCATCTCTGGATGATCATGGGAGTACCTGTAGGCCCGATGCATGGCGGTATCGCGATATACAGCCATGTTTACCACAGGATGGTTTTATTTGAGCATCTGTTACCACAGGACATTGCTTGTCAGTGAAAATTTCATCCAGTCACCATCTTAACAAATTTGTTTTCACTGAGGCAACCCACAATAAGCATTTGACATATCCGTTCTATGTAATAATTGTTGAGCATGTAAAGGATTTTCATTTTGGCTTTCATGTGAACTTACTGTCATAATAACTCAATTAATGTTTAATATTCATGTAGATTTTTTTTTTAGACAAACACGAATAATTATGACAATAAAATTAACTCAAGCGCAATTTTCAAGATTGGTTTCTCACTTTTTTGAATGTTCAATTTACCTTATCGCTTACAAACTGTGGCAAGACCAGGACTTATCGAAATTTAAATACAGCCAAGCATTTTTCTCTCAATAAATACCTTTAAATAACTGAATTGTGCATTGTTGACAGGTGTGGAATTGGATTATTTTTTAATATAATGGAAAGCAGTAAAAGCGTGATGATAAACGGACAGGCACATGAGTTATGACAAAGTTGCCTTTAAAAGTGTTGACACATAAAACGGAAATGCTGCTTATTGAAGCTAATGTATGCTAGACCTGCTATCATTCAGTATTATTACTTCAAAATGCCCGCCAATTGTAGAACACTTGACAATTTATGCACACTTGATTTCTTGGTTAAAAGCACATTTTTCATATCCTGACATTTTTAGTGTTTGTCGAAAACAGTCACCTTTCGGCAGTTTTGTTTTGCAGAATCTTTTTTCTGGATAACAAGGTCAATCACAATTCCAGTCACAACTCCATTCACGAGCAAGAGGAAGTAAACAATAACAAAAATGCCTTTGTCACAGACTTGAATTGGGACATTATGATTTATGAACTTTCACTGGAATTGACCACTTCACTACCAAATAATGCTTTTTTGATACCAATAACGGGTCTTTTCCGACCGGATTTTTCATCTTCCATGTATCTAGATTGTTCATCTGCTTCAAGATTGTTCACATAGTCCAATAAATCGCTTCATGAAGCGATTTATTGGACTATGTGAACAATCTTGAAGCAGATGAACAATCTAGATACATGGAAGATGAAAAATGAAGCGATTTAATGAGGCCAGTATGTTTATGTATGAGAACAGAACAATGATATCAAGAGCATTATTGTTAGTCAACCAGTTACATTAAAGCATTTTAAAGTACAGTTGTCATTGAGCTACCACAGTAGCCTAGTGGATAGTGAGATGAGCTATGGATTATACAAAGATCCCTGGTTGGAATCACGTCGTCGCTGCTCATTTTCATCGACTATTTATCTTCTTTAAATTTATCGTTGAGATAATTTTAATTTAAGGGAAAATGAGTGTCTTGCAACGATACAAAGGAAAAACTGAAAATTGCCCCCCCCCCCTTCCCCGCCTTACCTGTTGATGTGCCACTGATCTGGGTTACTGGCAATTGAGCAATATATTCATGTGGTCAAACTGTGGAAACTATTCTGTCCCATCGCAAACCCTGAAAAAAGCTTGACTGTACCCCATTCATATTCAGTTGCCAGTATCTGGATTGGCAAGACACTGCTGTATAATGGCTCCATGTATTCATTTAGCTCGCACATTATGGGGTGGTGTGCATGCACACACCAACCCATGCAACAGAATGCGAGCACGCAATTTTGCATGGGTAATCTGTTGACAAGTCGTCTAGGTATACATTTTGGCCATGTGTGTGGCAGCTATATGTGCACACTAGCATATAAAAGTATCAGCTGGCACATAATGCTGAATTGATTAGTCAGATTTTAGCTCTCGCTCATGAATATGTATGAGGAAAGTAACAATTCTGTCAACTCACTTTGAGACTGCAAGAGCTGAATTCAGAAGCATCATAACATCTGGTGGCTGTTTGGTTCTCTCATGACCTTGTGATACTACAGGAAAAGGTATTGACATCTTTGGCGATTGGTCAGGGCTCTGCGTAATCTACATGGAAAAAAAAATTGAAGTCTTCAGTAGTTTTCATATACAAACCTTATGGGAAAAGAAAAAGTAAAATCAAAACAACAGGGAGGAAAAGGCCAGGTACGAGGTAAAAGGTATATGGTATATTTGTAAAACCAGATTGTTGCCTTATGAGGTACCAGCAACAACAAATCAACAAAATGGCATTTCCATGTATAATTGCAATTTTCAGAACAAAGTTTGAGACCAATATTTCTTACAATTTCCTTGGAAATTACACGGCAGGTAGAAATCCAGGAAAGCCTCATTTATTTTTTCTGGTAACCAGGTAAGTGTGTTTTAAAAATTGTTTAACCAGTCTATACCTCAAGCTAAACAAGCTGGTAGTGAGGCTCAGTAGGCAGAAGCAGTCTAGCACCAACCTCGTGCCCCGTGGGTACGATCTCGCAGGTTTTTTTTTTAGCGAAAAACGCGGCTGACATAATCCATATCGTACAGGCATCACAACTTTTGAATCCTAATTTTTTTTCCGTATGTGACGTTACGTGCAAAGCTAAGCACGCGAGCGCGAGCGCATTATGGGCGCGCCCGGCGTGCAATCTTCGAAATGCCCGCGCAGTACGCTGTGAATAGCCATTCAGCATCATTTACGTCATCATCACAGCCAGGGGTTAGTGTAAGGAACGAGCACGCGCCCCTGGAGTCGAGGCTGATGTCTTACCAACAAGTGACCTATCGGTATCGTTTCGGTTTGCGATAACACCATGTGGTAATAACTACTGCTTAGAAGATATTTAGTTCTGAAAAGAACTTGCCTGCTTATTATCAACTTACACTATGTAGTTTTGTTCTGATAAGAGATTGGCTATTTCATTAGCAACATATGGCATTCGCTAATACCAAGTTGCAACACTCATGGCTCACAGCCAACTGACACACCTGAGCAAGCAGGACACTCACACCGCGTTCCCACTTGAATTGGAAAAAGGTGGATCAAGATCCGGCATTTTGGTGTGATCGTTATCTTACCGCAACGAAACCGCAAGTCGCGTTCCCACTTATGCTTGATCCACCTTTTCGTACGGAAATGTTGGGTCCGAAAGGTCACTGAGTTCGGAATTACGCGCGCTCTGTGAGAGTGCCATTGTTGCATGGTTGCATGCTAGGCCAGGATGGGTAAGTTTTCAAACAGCACTATCAGAATTCACAGACAAAAATTACGCGAATTCACCAACATAAATCACGGATCCGTAGAGGATCCGTGCGTGCATAAATTAACAGGTGAAATCCAACAGAGCCGCTCATTGTGTGACATCACGGCAGAAACCAATGCATCGATAAGGGATTCCCTGGTTCTGAAGCTTCTCATTGGTTAGAAACGGTCACATGATGTACTACGACATCATTTTCCAATTTTCTATAATCAATACTTCAGATTTGTCACCTCCGTACGTACCGCGTTATCGGCACTATTCTCATCGCATACTCGTAAGCTTTTCCATGATTCTGTGCCAAAGTGAAGTCTTTTGGTGAGTGCGGACTCAGAGTCATTTATGGATGGAAAAATAAGTAAAATTTCAGGAATGAAAAAGGTTTAGTAATGGACGAACACGCAACAAAAATAAGGCCTATAGTGTAGTTTTAGGATACCACGTGCGCTTTTGCATGCGCGGTGCTAGCCCGTATCCCCGCGTAGTTCAGCGGTTGTTTATTGTGCATGTTGTATACGCTGGAAATGTTCACATGAGCTACACGCCTGAAAACGTGTTTCTTCGTTCATGAGACCGCAACATTTTCGCGCCACTCGTGCACCGGGCGGATGTTAACAGGTCAAATTGCCGGATCAGATCCACCTTTTGCGTTCCCATCTGATCGTGATCCGGCAATTGCCGGATCTGATCCACCAATTGGGGGATCTGTATCCTGGTCCAGAGGTGGATCAGAAAAGGTGGATCTGATCCTGATCCACCTTATAACGGTTAGCGTTCCCACTACACACAATTGCCGGATCTGATCCACCAATTGGGGGATCTGATCCGGCAATTTGGCAAAAGGTGGATCAGATCCCCCAATTGGTGGATCAAGTGGGAACGGGGTCTCAGTGGGCACCCCAGTCAAACACAATGCCCAGGGCTCACAGCCAACTGACACGCTCGAGCGAGCAGGGCATCCCACTCCAACACAATGCCCAACAGACAACCAATCAGAATCTACCAACGCAGTCACTCCCAATCCTAACACAACCTACTTAAGGATCAGCATCTCTCAGTTTCCTGACGATGACTAGAGCAGGCTAGTCAAAACATTGAGACCAAAGACAAGTTCTTTTAGAACTTAAAGCAGGACTGCTCGTATCAGAACAAAAACTACATTGCGAAAGTTGATAATAAGCAGGACAAGTTCTTTTCAGAACTAAATATTTTCTAAGCAGTAGTTATTACCACATGGTGTTACCGCAAACCGAAACGATACCGATACTCCACCATGCAAAGCCTAAAATCATAAAAGTGACCTATCACCGTTTGGAATTTGTGTACGCCAAGTTTTGTCCATTTGTATATCATAAATTGGACTATATTTCACAAGCTGCGTTGACGCGATTCTACCCCGATAGGTCAATTGCATAAGACGTAACAAGCAGGACAAGTCAGACCTCAAGCATTAATGTGGAGTGTCCCCTTTACAGAAAACCTACTTCTAGACACTACTTCAGGCTCTGGCTAGCTTTATCTCTTACTTTATTTGCTTTTCCTTTCATCGCGACATAAATAGACATAACAATATTTTTATATATAATAAATCATATATTTGGGCATAAACAACACAAGCAGGTCATGGTCAGGACATCTTTGAAGTGATAGGTAGGTGGATTGAGAGGGAAGCAATGAAACTTACAGTCATTGGGTTATATGTATAAAAACAAGCAATTGCTTTTACTACCAATTTTTAAGCATTTATTGCATCCACAGCCTGTCTCCAAAAAAAATGGCACAATCAGAAGAAAAAAAAAAAATTCAAAATAAGTCATTCTTACTTGGCATAATATTAAAAAACAAAGACTGGGCTTTCCAATAGTGTTTGTTTGATCTTATTTGCTTTTGTCAATTCAGAGATATAATCAATTTAGTGCGATACACCAAAATCGATTTTGTGCCACTTTTATGCATGAGCAGAGTTGTTTCGAGTACTGTGCTATGCTGTCTTGAAGCTCACAAAAGATTGCAACTTGGCAAAAGAAACAAACTCGATTTTTGTGTTCCGCAGTAAACTGGAGTTATCTCTGGATTGACAAAAGCAAATGAGATGAAACAAAAGTATTGGAAAGCTTGGTCTTTTTTCTTTTATGTGATGCTCAAAACGACTAACTTATGTTGAGATTTAATATTGAAAAAAAAATTGTTTTTGATTGTACCATTTTTTTTGAGACAGGCTGTATATGAATGAATTGACCGTCTACAAGACAGTGTGGAGCTTTACAAATTTTTGCTGGATATGAAGATCAAACCAAAATTGTGGGGTGCTGTGGTCCAAAGGTTACGGTGTTCGACTCATGTGCCATGGTACATGGATTCGAATCCTGACCGTGGTAACATGGTGCTTGTGCTCCCGAGCAAGGCACTTTACCATTATTGCTTCGTCCTTCGGATGGGACGTAAAGCCGTAGGTCCTGTGTGTTGTGTAATGCACGTTAAAGAACCCAGTAACACTTATCGCTAAGAGAAGGGGTTTGCCGCAGTGTTTCTGGCAGTGGCTGCAATATGCGCCACAGCACCTTGTAAACCCTTATAAGGTGCTACATAATGGGTCTCATATTTCTCATTAAATTTCATTTACCTGTCTTCTATTGATAGACATAATTTCCAGCGCCTTGAGTACCTATTTGTTGGTAGATACATGCGCTATATAAGACTCCTGTATTATCATTAAAAAAAACACTGTACTGTATGCCTAGATGCATCCCCTTGATGATTTGGCCTGTTACCCTAAGTGTAACCCTGTGTGTACTTCAACGGGCACTAGGTTCTAAAATCCCCGAAAATTTCATGTCTAGAATTGTTTACTTATCCTATTTCAAACATCTGGTTGAAAAGGAAACCAACCTCATGTCATACAGTTCCCGAGAAAAGACGGGGGAAAAAAACGGTTTATATCGGACACGGCGGAGTACAAATATGTTTTTCCTGTCATTCTCAGTCAATGTACGATATAAACGTTGTGTGTGTGAGTATACACACACTTGCGAACAGAGTGCGGTGACCAATCACCAGTGCACAAATGTGGTTTCTTACACGTTCGCAAAAGGTGAACCCTTTACGGATGAAATCACAACTAGCACCCAAACAGCTCGACTTTTTGGGGTCGCAAAAATGGACCCCGAAAGTCATTCTCGCATGCACAATACAGGAATAACACAAAAACGCCCAGTTTTGAAAGGATAGTTGTGTGGATGTTTATCTCCTACTTTTAAAAGTTCTTTCCGATTAAGATCATTTTGTTCAAAATGCGTTTTGTAGGCCAATGGGGCTGTTCCAGGACGCAGTGTACACACCAAAAAAAACACTACTGTCAACAGCCATTCATCCTTGCAATCAATCCAGCAGTAAGAAGCATTTGCTATCTAGTAAATGCTCTACAGCAGAAAAAAAAAAAGAATTCAAGCGTTTTCTTTTTCTTCCTTTACTCCAAGGTAAATACTTTTACTTTTTGCTTAAACTTCAAGCATTTGCTAGTGTTTATCATGCGATCCATTATTTCTATCTAAACTTACTTTCAAAATAGCATCCACATCTCTAGCTTTGCAGAGCAATGAAGTTGCAAAGTTTACAGAACTTTTCTCTTTATGCTTTGGTTTGGATTGGTTGGTGAAGTACGAGTAGTGTTTAGTGAACTGCTTCTTGAAGAATGTTCCCTCTGCTAATGTACTTGATCTGTATCACACAAAATAATTGACAGTAAATAACAAAGAAGGAAGTTTCTGGTTCAGGCTTGTAATACAGTGACTGATCATTTCCATATGTCATAAGTATGATTGCAAGGTTACAAAATAACAGCAAAGGTATTTAAACAAAATATTGAAACAGCCCAACAGAAGGACACTGAGATAATAGTGAGGAATACTAAAGGGTATAACTGTAGATGCACCTTCATTTCCAGCCTTTTGAGGTTAAGATGTAACACAAAATTATTTTAGTGGGAGCATCATGGGTCAAACTAAAAACATATTTCACAAAAATTACAATCAAAACTTTCCATCCCTTTACAATAAAAACATGCGACTAAAGAGACCAAGAGAAAGAAGCAATACTTGCAAAAGATGTGAGTCCAACGGAATTAATTGGTTGAACTTTTGTTTCTAAACAAAATTTGTAAAGTTCAAGCTGATGCCACACTGTGAACATAAACGGTTGGGCTTGGTTGATATCAGTTACAGAATTGGAGACACACAGGGTTACAAATTCCACTCACATTTGAACTTTACCATACCTCATTCTGACATACGTAGGACCACTGAAAAAAATGCTTTTGCAAATATTCATGAATGCTATACCATCACACAGTTATCTTTTCTTGAAGAAGATTTTTATCAAGACCACAATATTTTGGGGTGATTTGGGGGTCTTTTTTTAGTGCAACACCCACTGCCATACACAATGCACTAAAGAACTGCGTTGCTCACTAATATTCATTCAAAGGCACCATGTATGATAAATGGTCTCAAGTATTTCAAATACTTAAGATCACTTTACCATCCTTAACCATATTACACCTCTTTTGATCTTACCTACCAATGCATACAAAATCAATTTTCATGCAGATCTATGAAACAAAGCACATCAATGGTTGCAATGATGAATACTTACCTTGGACGAGATGGACCTTTTTTCCACAAAATACTAGTCCTACTTTCCAGAGAACATTTGAAAAAGTGACATAACCACAATTAGATAAGATTTGAAGGTTTGCATAGTGAAGGTAGCAACAGGATAAAGATGTACGATACCATGTGACAAATCTATGATATGAGTTTGTAAGGTTCTGAAAAAAAAAGAGAAAAACTTAGCATTTCGGACAGTGTACTCTGCCCATCATCAGGAAACTGAACGACGGGCAGAGCATACTATACAAAACATTGAGTTTCCCTGGTTCTTTTCAGAACCTCACAAACTCATACAAGAGATTTGCCACATGGCGCTCCAATAAATCTTCAATTAAATTGCAAACTTGGACCAAAGCCAATCATAGTTAATGGGCATTAATCATTTACTTTTTACCTTTGCAGCATTTGTTTTCTTCTCTCACTTACACTTCTTGTGAGACTCTATGAAAAAAAAAAAAAAAAATACAATTCAGTAAAGCTAAATTTGAAATTTTCAATATGAGTACCCCTTGCTTGTTGCATATTAGATATAATAGTTTGGAAATTTACTGAATTTTCGTTGTTATTAACCTCTTAATTTTGAATAAAATAATGATTTTAAAAATATATTCATCCACTGTAGCTGGCTGTGCAAACCTTCCAATTATTTCTCTATTTGAAAATGTGAAGCAGATTTTTGAAAATTACAAACATTTAAAATAAAATTGGATGATAAGGTTCTCCATCTCCATAAACTGAATGATGGTACCATTTCGTTCTATGAGTGGATCAGAGCCAGATACAATGATGGTACCATTCCGTTCTATGAGTGGATCAGAGCCAGATACAATGATGGTACCATTCCGCTCTATGAGTGGATCAGATCCAGATACAATGATGGTACCATTTCGTTCTATGAGTGGATCAGAGCCAGATACAATGATGGTACCATTCTGTTCTATGAGTGGATCAGAGCCAGATACAATGATGGTACCATTTCGTTCTATGATAGGATCAGATCCAGATACAATGATGGTACCATTCCGTTCTATGAGTGGATCGGAGCCAGATACAATGATGGTACCATTCCGTTCTATGAGTGAATCAGAGCCAGATACAATGATGGTACCATTTCGCTCTATGAGTGGATCAGAGCCAGATACAATGATGGTACCATTCCGTTCTATGAGTGGATCTGAGCCAGATACAATGATGGTACCATTCCGTTCTATGAGTGGATCAGAGCCAGATACAATGATGGTACCATTCCGTTCTCTGATAGGATCAGAGCCAGATACAATGATGGTACCATTCCGTTCTATGATAGGATCAGAGCCAGATACAATGATGGTACCATTCCGTTCTATGAGTGGATCAGAGCCAGATACAATGATGGTACCATTCCGTTCTATGATAGGATCAGAGCCAGATACAATGATGGTACCATTCCGTTCTATGAGTGGATCAGAGCCAGATACAATGATGGTACCATTTCGCTCTATGAGTGGATCAGAGCCAGATACAATGATGGTACCATTCCGTTCTATGAGTGGATCTGAGCCAGATACAATGATGGTACCATTCCGTTCTATGAGTGGATCGGAGCCAGATACAATGATGGTACCATTCCGTTCTATGAGTGAATCAGAGCCAGATACAATGATGGTACCATTCCGTTCTATGAGTGGATCTGAGCCAGATACAATGATGGTACCATTCCGTTCTATGAGTGGATCTGAGCCAGATACAATGATGGTACCATTCCGTTCTATGAGTGGATCGGAGCCAGATACAATGATGGTACCATTCCGTTCTATGAGTGGATCTGAGCCAGATACAATGATGGTACCATTCCGTTCTATGAGTGGATCTGAGCCAGATACAATGATGGTACCATTCCGTTCTATGAGTGGATCTGAGCCAGATACAATGATGGTACCATTCCGTTCTATGAGTGGATCGGAGCCAGATACAATGATGGTACCATTCCGTTCTATGAGTGGATCGGAGCCAGATACAATGATGGTACCATTCCGTTCTATGAGTGGATCAGAGCCAGATACAATGATGGTACCATTCCGTTCTATGAGTGGATCTGAGCCAGATACAATGATGGTACCATTCCGTTCTATGAGTGGATCGGAGCCAGATACAATGATGGTACCATTCCGTTCTATGAGTGAATCAGAGCCAGATACAATGATGGTACCATTTCGCTCTATGAGTGGATCAGAGCCAGATACAATGATGGTACCATTCCGTTCTATGAGTGGATCTGAGCCAGATACAATGATGGTACCATTCCGTTCTATGAGTGGATCAGAGCCAGATACAATGATGGTACCATTCCGTTCTCTGATAGGATCAGAGCCAGATACAATGATGGTACCATTCCGTTCTATGAGTGGATCAGAGCCAGATACAATGATGGTACCATTTCGCTCTATGAGTGGATCAGAGCCAGATACAATGATGGTACCATTCCGTTCTATGAGTGGATCTGAGCCAGATACAATGATGGTACCATTCCGTTCTATGATAGGATCAGAGCCAGATACAATGATGGTACCATTCCGTTCTATGAGTGGATCAGAGCCAGATACAATGATGGTACCATTCCGTTCTATGAGTGGATCAGAGCCAGATACAATGATGGTACCATTCCGTTCTATGAGTGGATCAGAGCCAGATACAATGATGGTACCATTTCGCTCTATGAGTGGATCAGAGCCAGATACAATGATGGTACCATTCCGTTCTATGAGTGGATCTGAGCCAGATACAATGATGGTACCATTCCGTTCTATGAGTGGATCTGAGCCAGATACAATGATGGTACCATTCCGTTCTATGATAGGATCAGAGCCAGATACAATGATGGTACCATTTCGCTCTATGAGTGGATCAGATCCAGATACAATGATGGTACCATTCCGTTCTATGAGTGGATCAGAGCCAGATACAATGATGGTACCATTCCGTTCTATGAGTGGATCAGATCCAGATACAAATGACATATTTCTACAAATGACATATTTCTACTTGTCAGGACTCCCTTACCTGGTTCTGACTGGCACTGCCATGACTAAAGCTCTTGCTGCACACAGAACGTTCTGGTAATGCAGGCTTTCGACTACAAATAATGCAAAAAGTAATTTAAAAAAAACAGATTTCAATCCAATTCTTTCTCTCTCACCATGCATGAGACTTTAAAACAAGAGAATATACCAGTACCAGTCTTTTATGCATGTAGAGGCTGAATTATACCTGGTGTCAATGTACCATACAACAGTTCAGAGTGAAAGGTATGCAATAATGCATGATAAAAGAACACATGAACCAGAGCTTCTCATTGGTTCCAATATGCTTTCCCCAATTTTAAAATCAAGAATATAACAGAGGTACCATTTCACTTCATATTTGTTGGGTAACACAGTGCCCTTATGCACATAGACTATATCCATCTGGAAACCCCTGAATCATCTTGATGCATGATATTCTGAATGGGGTACATCCTTAGAGCTATATTAAATTACTAAACCCCTGACATGATGTACAAAGTCATACCTGCTGGGTGCATCCATGTTTGTGCACAAACCTACATGTATGGAGAACTCGAAATTTGTACCGCTTTTGTACAGCTATTTGCATATCTGCATTTGTTATCGAAGTCAATACGCCCCAAACTGAAATATGCACACTCAGTAAATAAGCGTTAGATTTCACGATAGACGGTACAGTCTTTGTATATGTACCGCGCAGCAGCATGCATGTCGCATAATGACCCGATAGGACATTCTGTTCCCATCCAAAAACCAGACTCGGTCGACAAACTTCTCGCAAAGAATGTCTTAGGAACCTTGCACTGAATAGGCCATGACCTAATATGCATAATTTAACAGGAATAGCGCATGCACACTGATGGAAACAAAAAAGCTAGTTGGCAAACCATTAGTCAGGTAACGTAATGTACATGTACATGTGGTGCATGAGGTGGCATCAGGTGCTGATCAGTGGCAACGTGCAAATTGATGAACAGCACTGATTGATGACTTTTTTTACCTTTCAGAGTCCCAATTTCTTTGATGCAAAATCCACCATTTTTCATCCTGACTAATAACGTCAAGTTTGCAAGCAGTACACACGTGGCATGCAAAACTGCAGTACGTACAGAAAGCAGACCGATTATTCATGCTAGATCAGGCACGCATGCAAATGCACACATCATTCTGCTCAGAATTTCGCAAGCAGTAATACGAGATTCCCAAGACATCCTTTGCAGCTTGTTGGCATGTGTGAAAAGGACACCTGTTTCAGTGAATCACTGCACAGTCCACTAACCCCAATGCTAAATCACCCACTGCTAAGGATGTCTTGAAACCCAGATTAACCCCTGAAAAAAACATTGTGCTTCACCAATTCCTAGAAAAATCTTTGTTACATACACAAAGAGGCAATTTTCAGACACCATACAAACGGCACATACAAAGATACTTCACAACTGTATTAAAATTGAAGATATTTTCCAGATAATTTTCCCAGATAAAACATATAAATGTAAGTTACCTAAGTGTGACTGCATTGTCTGCTGACACACTCCCATCAAATTTAGGTGACAGTAGAGCATAGGAAGGGAACAGATAATGGATGTGGTTGATGATCAGGAACTTCACAATCAGCTCATAGGCAAACAAGCGACCTTCTCTCCATTCCCAAGCTTGACAGAACTGCTTGTCCTGAAAAGTAACTTTAACAAAAAGCAACACATTATTCTGTCATACATGTAACTAGCCAAATGTACACATGGCAATCAAACTCAACACAGAGGAGACACAAGCACACGGTTATGAAAAAAAAACATTTGTGCAATTAAGATATAAATGTTTAGCTTCAATAATTTCAGTTTGTTGAAATGGTTTTAAATATAACCTTTAATACCATGCATAACTTCCAATTTGATAATCAAGTAATTTTTTTATCAGTTTTAGATATAATGCAACTACAAATAAAATTGGCACATGCATTTAATGGAGTTGAAGTATGTGAAACGTCTGCCATGACATCACAGGGTTGTGACCATGTTTGCATTCACATTGGATTTGAAATGAATGAATCCTCAAAAGGCCTGAAGTCAATCTAAGACAAAGTAATCAAAATTACCTCCTTGTATCTTATGGAGTGTCAAAATACTTTGTTGCTTCTCTAGCTCTACAGAAAACTGTCTTCTAAAAGTTCCCTGTCTTGAGATTTGTCCATTACTCTTAACTTCATGCTTCACTGTACTATGGTATTGCTTGGTGCTACATTCCATCAAATCTGTGATGTCAATGCTCCAGTTAGCACAAAGAGCTTGCAGCACGAGCTTGAGAAGCCCCGAGTTGTCGCTTTCTTTTGCAACTATTTATTTAAGAACAAACACAAAAACATAATGTTAGGTCATGTTGATACAATTTAAAGATATCAATGACAGACTTATACACAACCGTTTTAAGTTGTAGTGCAGACAGCTTTCCTGCACATATACAGGGTGAGTCCCAAAAAGCGGAACCCAAACCCCAACAATTATATTTCATATTTAAAAAATATGTAGCACCCAAAATAATACTGACTGGAAAGCCAAATTCATAAGCTACTTTTAGATGAAAAAAAAATACTGATATTGGTCAATCCGTAAAAAAAATCACCATTTAAATACAATGACTCTAAAACCTGTCTCGTCCAAAAATGCGATTTCAAGAATCATCGTCGCAATTGTCTTCAAACATCACCAACGATAAACTCTCAGTTTATACGTTAAAAATATTCAACAAAGTCCTTTTGAAGGCCTGTCTTAAAAAAAAAATAGATTTTATAAATCATATAGAGATATCATAAAGATATTGTGTACTACAGTTGGTGACAGTTGTTGAAACAAGTATTCTGTGTCATTTTCTTTGTTGTTCCTAACAGACAAAACCACAATAAATTGCTTTTTTTTGGACGAGACAGGTTTTAAGGTCATTATGTATAAATGGTGATAGTCTTGAATGGATTGAGCAATTTCAGTAATTTCTTTTTCATCTAAAAGTAGCTTATGAAATAGCCTTCTAGTCATTATTATTTTTGGTGCTACATATCTTTTTTAAATATGAAATATATTTTTGGGGATTTGGGTTCCGCTTTTTTTTACTCACCCTGTAGCAAAATCCCCCAAGATGAAAAGATGTCAGGTTAAGGGGGAAAATACCTGGAGGGTGGAATGAAGAACTCAGATCCATGATAAATACACGTTTTCTATACAAGGCTGCACATATAAGTTTTGTAATGGGTCACAGAGGCTACAAGAAGAAAGGCCATATTAATAGTAAAGGGTTGGAGGGAAAAATAAACAAGGTTCAAAGAGAAGACCACAGGGAGACATAGCTTCTAAGGATCTTCCTATTTTAATGAAACCCCACTGCATTCTTGCCTAGTTCTGAATTATTGAAATCTTGTATGCATAAGTTCAGATGGAAGGGGGAAAATAGTCAAAGATGTATTAATTCATATTATACTATAAAGAGTTATATCAAAATCTTCCTAGACAAACTTGTAGATTTCTTTAAAAAGCAAAGAGTTCAATACAGTTCAACTGTCTTGTTGTCCATGTAAAGTGATAATTGAGTCTCAGAATTATGCAACAAAAAAATCCAATAACAAAGTATTTAGTAAAATCCAGGCAATCACATGCCACATACAATGTAAAATAGCATAAATCTAAATCAAATCAACGAACAATATAAACTATTATGAGTCACAATTTATATGCACATTTCCGATTCTAAATTGTGTATAGCTGAAACAATTTAAAAAGGGGATTGTTCAATTGGAATCTGGCATATAAAAGATAGTTTACTTGAGATTTGAGATGAAAATTTCTTTTGTCATCCAAAGACCTGCTTGGTTGTAAACACTTTTAAAGCACTATTACCTTAGAAGTTGAGTTAGTTTTATTATAGCGGTTAGAGACACCATCTCACCAATATACTTGAATATGACACTGGCAGCTTGTCTAACTGTAGATGCTGGGTGCATGAGATTCAGGCTGAAGGTAGAGAAGTATTTGGGCCAATTCAGTAGAAGCACTCCTGACTGCACATGCTGCATGAAAACACATATTTCATGAAAGTGCGGCAATTCATTTTATTAAATAAGAAATGTAGTAACATTTGTTTACAAGGGAATAATATAGTAAGAGAGCAGTTTTAAACATCTGGTTCAAAACCAGGAAGGGGCATGGTCGCGCATTATGGGCAACCAGTCACCTTCCTGGTTTTCACCAGACATTTAATACTGCTCTACCACACTATTATTCCCATTCATAAATACCTTATAGGTCAAAAACACATTTGTTTAAGTAGACAAAATTACTAAATTCAGAAGGTGTTGTGTTCAAGAATTTGACATCATATTGCTATGCATGTTCAGGGGCCATTTCTACAAACGGAACATGTGATTGTTGTTCCCCCACCCCCTTGAATGCCCCCCCCCCAAAAAAAACACCCAAATTAACACCCTCAAAGAAGCAACTTGAGAGAATTCTGTAAACTTTAAAGTCCTTTACTTTGTTACCTTTATTATCAGGCATACTTTTACCCAAAAAAAACAGAGATAAAAATAGACAGAAATACCAAATCTATTGACGCTTTCATAATAACCTTCAAAGGGTCCATTGCATAGCCGTTTGTTAACGACTTGATTAACTAGCGGGATGCCGCGCTTCGCGCGGCACCCGCTAGATGGGTAGAGTTGACTGTTTCGTAATAATTACTGTATACAATGAAATCTCGATAATTTAAACTCTAATAATTCCAAACAACTGTTAAGTCAAATAAAGAATCATACCCTCTGCTCACTGCACGCGAGGCGCGAGCCTATTTGGACTCGCCATCAGTCTCGCCTAATTTGTATTTGCGTTCAACGTGCGCGTACATAACGTTTCCTGCGGAGATTGTGCGAGGGTCCAGGACATATTGTCAATATAGGGGAAGAGGCTAGCTAGGGTGAAGGGTGCTAGTTGGAACGCCCAATTTCCGTAAAACCCGTCGACCATGTCACCAATATTTCCGGGGATGGGGAGAAACATTTCCAGGGATGGGGAGAAATGGTTTTTGTTATAGAGGGGAGATGGTGATATTGAAATCGCTGATATTGTGGAGGTTTATGTTTGTGCTGGGATTCATACCGTTTAAATGTTTTAAATTGCGCGCCGATTAGGAAGGTCTTGCTGTCAACAGTTGAATGAAATTAAGTATTCATTGCCGACCGATTGTCTCATGCGGTGTCTCGTTATATATAGCTCATAAATAATGTTGTGCAGGAATATTGTCCAGTCAATTTGAACATTGAATTTTCAAGGTGCCAAACCATTAAGGACGTATACACCAACTGTACCAATTAGGTAATTGAGATGAAACGCGGTTTGATCTTGGCCTATACAACGTCGTATCCATCGTTCTCACTACAGAGGAGAGGAGGGGGCAGCCAGTGGGGTGGGGGTTGGGTATTGTGTGGGCGTCGCCAGAATTTTTTCTAGAGGGGGGCAAAACATATTTGTGCCCACAAAATGCCTGTTTTTCTCAACATATTCTCGATTTATCAGTTTTAGAGGGGGCCAGAGACATTTTGCTCCCCCTCCAACCCATTAAATTTACACCACTATGACTTTTTTTTTTGGCTTTTCCGGGGGGGGGGGGGAGTGCCCCCCCCCCCCAAACCATTAAGGACGTATACACCAACTGTACCAATTAGGTAATTGAGATGAAACGCGGTTTGATCTTGGCCTATACAACGTCGTATCCATCGTTCTCACTACAGAGGAGAGGAGGGGGCAGCCAGTGGGGGTGGGGGTTGGGTATTGTGTGGGCGTCGCCAGAATTTTTTCTAGAGGGGGGCAAAACATATTTGTGCCCACAAAATGCCTGTTTTTCTCAACACATTCTCGATTTATCAGTTTTAGAGGGGGCCAGAGACATTTTGCTCCCCCTCCAACCCATTAAATTTACACCACTATGACTTTTTTTTTTGGCTTTTCCGGGGGGGGGGGGGAGTGCCCCCCCCCCCCCCCCCCCCCCCCCCCCCCCCCCCCCCCCCCCCCCCCCCCCCCCCCCCCCCCGCGACGCCATGCCTATTTATGTTACACCTGTGAATGGTCACTTATATTTCCGGGGAAGTGGGCAACAATTTATATTTGTTATGGTGAAGGGGGTGTTTCTTATGTATTAAGTAGATGTTAATGTCATTATAGCAGTTGGTGTTTTTATTATGGTGATGGGGTTGTACAGCAAAGTATCGTAACACGTTTATTTGCAGAAGAGAGTAAAACTAAAAGAAAGGACATATTGGAGCACTTCATAATTATGTCAAGCACCACATGTAAAATGTATTTATTACAAAACTGTGAAAATGAAATCAGGTAAACACACATTTTTTTTAAAACAATGTATTTGCATTCATTACTGTACAGGGTAGTACTTCTACAAAACTCAGGGGATATAATTGTAGTCAGTTTTAGGAGCAATTTTCGCAAGGGACGTCGGTCCAGGCTTGTTTACCATAGGCACAAACATTCCATGAAAGACTTTCAAGCAAGACGGCCAAAGGTTATTGTGCAATTGCAGTTTTTTGTGTTAAAAGCTGTAATCATAAATAATGACAGTGGCATTGTAAGTTACAGAACATTTTTTTAATGAGTGTTGGTGAAAACTCATGAGAAACGGAGGGGTATGCGATCATGAATATTTTGTTGTGAAATTTTAAGAGTGATTATGTAATTTGGTAATCAAAGACATTGTTTTGTTATCAAATAAGCTTGCCAGGATCGACACAGTCTGCTTGGCCAGTAATTATCGGGTAATCATTCCATCATTATTCTTGGGTACAACTAAGCCAAGGATATAATTTTTAAAAAGGATGGACATCAAACAGCAGAAAAGAGTGATTTTTTTTGCACTATTTCATGACTTCTAAAACTAAAATTATGGCTAGAAGGAAAATGTGTTTTGAATGGGTAAAGAGAAAAAGCAGGAATCTTGCAGTTGAACTTGAAAGAATAGGTGTCTTCGTCTTAAGTTGAGATTATTGCTTTAGGAACTGGTTGAAGCATGGAGCATGCTTGGAGCATGGTTGGAGCTGGTCATGTGATGTGGGTGTCATCGGGAGTCCTGTGTAAAGGAGTTAGAAAGAAAAGAATAACGACTAAGGTGAAGAAAACTTACAATACCCCATTTATGCGGAATGCACTACTGAAGTACTAACCAAACATGCCAAACAACGAAACATGTCTTATATGTTGTATTTTTGTGAACCCCCCCCCCCGCATATGATTTTATCTCAGCAGAACAGCAGAGACACTGAACAGTCATCAATGTATTAGTTTCCTCTTTATCCTGCTTGGGTTCATGTCTATTGTCGAGTCATGTGATTTTCTGCCAGAGTGTATTCTCTTAGATCCACTATTCTAACTGTGTTGGTTTCAGGTTTTAGTCTTTGCCTGTATTTTTTGGTTTTTGGCCTGAGGTTTGAACTTGATCACGTATTAAGTTGGTTATTGGTCTTTGATTTGCTGTAAATTAATTTTGTTTTGCCTATGAGTATGAAAGCCATTTCTTTAAAGGAAGTTTTTAGTATGATTTGCCGTGTTCTAAGATTACCACAAAGATTTAGTTTGCATCATTTGTATGGAATGAATGTACATTTCATGGCCTATATACAAATGCAGCAGTTTTTTTTTGTGTAGCTAGTACTGAGTAGTAGTAGTAGGCCTAGGCTTAGGACTAAAACAAACTAAAGCAAAATCCAAAAATAAACTATTGAAAGCCCAATTGTGAAATCAAAAGTTGACAAAGTTCTACAAACATGTTCGGGTGACATGTTCCAAGTGAGGCCTGTAGTTGCGGAGGTCATGCAGCATGCAGTAAATTGGCCACATTAAGCCTAGCTAAGTAAACACACGGCCACACTCGGGCCGAGGCCTCCCCCCGTACAACCCTCCCCGTACTACCACCAGACTACGCCATCATTGGACACTTACAAACTCACACTTTTCTCAAACAACAATGCTTCTCAATGCCAGTGGCGTTCGAAAGAATACCACTTTTCTCAAACAAAAATACATATCATAAATGAGACTTACCGTTCAAAGAGAAAACTGGAGCAAGGAAGACAGATACATGTCAACAACGCTGTGCTGTTGCATGCGCTGCATGCTCATAACGAACGTATACGTGGCACGTCAATTATCCGGCCCGTACGCTGCATGCTCATAAACGAACGTATACGACGTGGCACGTCAATTATCCGGCCCGTACGCAAGATGGCCGGCGCGGCCGGCTCAATGGGGAAGGGAATTATGGGAAATAGGCATGGGAATAGGGTGGAAATAGCCGGGCCCCGTTCCGCATACCCCGCAGCCAACGGGCGCGATGGGGACGGGAGACCGGTCGGGAAAATGGCAGCGCCCCCGAATCATTTTCGTGATTGTAGTATAGATATGGAGCCATAAAAAGGAAAAGCTGCATGATTAAACTTTAGAGTAAGGAAACAAACATTGTACAGTATCGTAAAAAAAGTGTCACATGTTCGAGTTTGTACCATCAGTACATGTACTAAGGTGAGAAAAAATTGGCAAGACATCTCCCGTAATTTTCAGAATACAGGCCGTGCGGAGTATAAGCCACAGCACGCAACAATCTGCAAATGAAGATTTGAAGTCGGCGTATTAGCCACACCTGCGTAAAAGCCGCACCGGCTGCAGCAGTTGCAATTTTGTTAGGCCTCCAAATTCTTAAGTCAAAAAGCTCTGGACCAGTTCCATTTAAACTACGAAAGCTATGAAAAGGGCCACAAAGTTATATCCAAACATTTACGGTCGAATCTCTTTAAAAAAAATTGACGATGAGAACTAAACACCAGGAATTGCTGCCATGGCCCAGCCGGTCCACGGGCTTAAAAATAAGCGCATGGCCCAGTAGCCTGCACCGGCGAATGACAACATTTTCCCGCAGCACTTGAGAGAGTATGCAACACAATATGTGTCCTCTGACTGGAGCACTACAAATCTTGCTTGTGGCAATATATAGTTGCTGATTGGTTTTGTCCTAAGAATAAGCAGGTCCTTTTTTACAACAAAACTTATCAAATTGTTGAGATTACTAACGAGTATTAGTGTCAAAAATTCAAGTTTTCGATCATGATCTACTTTCTTCGAAAACAGTCAACACGATGCAGACATTTTTATGGATGAATCCATTAATTTCGTAAGGGGTGATTTAGCCCCTGTTTTGAGTTTTACATTGTTTCTTGAATACATTTCTAGAAAAAAAATGTATTGCGACGTTGAACAACTGATTGTCGAATAAAGAAATGTTTCAAATGTTTTAAATGATAGGCAAAATTTACAACAGTCCTACGGTAGCTTGTAACGTAACACAGTTACTATGTGTGGGTGCGCGCGCGTAAGGAAGTTTTCAGTATTGCAGAACTGAGGATGTTTACCACGAAAGGTGGATTGATCTGCAATTTATTTTCTGTAAACACTTCGCCCACGGACAAATTTCCTTTTTCTAAATAGGGCATCTTTGTAATTCTGGAATATGTTAACAAGGAATATGTAAACGAAATTTCAGCTTCCTCCAGTAGGCAGAAAATATGAAGAAAAAAACTTGTTATTTGTTTCACTACGGAAGCACAAGTTCATACCCTGGAAGTCACTGGTCGTAATGCAATGAAGACGTATAACAACGCATATTGAAGAGACAGAGTACCACACATACAGCTAAAATATGGCCACTGAACATGAACACAAAAAGTCTGGAAATGTCGCTGAAAGAAAAGTCACAAAATTGGAGCGTTTAACTGTTTATTTCGCTATGAAGGTATTTATTAATGGGAATAACAGTGTGAGGAACCAGTCTTCACTGCGTGATAATGACCGGGTTTGCTGATGGCCTCTGTTGATGGACCTTGGCTTTGACTCTGTCCATTACCAGCGATCATCCCCCACCCGGTCATTATCACGCAGTGAAGACTGGCTCCTCACACTTATATTCCCTAAATAATAGCAAACTACACACATTAATAATTCTTCACACTTACATGAGTATACGCACAACACACAATTAGTGACTCACAAAAGACATTTTCTGCTAAGAAGAGCCACAAAGATAATTACCTTGATTAGATAAAGACATACACTCAGCAAGCCCTCAGCCTGACAAGCTGCCATAAAGTTGTAGTTTGGTTGCAGAACAGCATAATGCGGTAAGGAAATGCAGTCACCAAATGACAAGGCTTTCAATCTTTCCATCTTCTCATCCTGTCCAAGCTTTGAAACAGCTTCCTTTAGTGATTCCACTGCAACCTGTATTTCAAACAAAAGGAAAAATGATGAGAATTGCCAAAGCTTGGCATGTCAAATTTCAACTTCCTCACTTACCAGATAAATATGGGTACATTGATCTTGCCTAAGGTATCAGAACTGCGCTCTGTTTGGTCTTAACCTCTTCCCTAATACCAGTTTGGAGAAGAGTGCATGTGTAGTCTCAAGTATCGCAAAGAGTGTCTCAATTCAAGTTGGCTGTCTTTATCCAGCTCAGAAGTATTTACCTCCAGATACTGTTCTGTATCTGTATGACAACCATTCATCCCTTATGGAGTACTGATGTCACATTTTGACGCTAAAGAATATTTTTCCACCTATATTTTAAATTTTTGTAAGTTTTTATAGTGTCACATACCCCTGTGAACATAAAAAAGCGCGAAATTTGCTCTTAAAATGATAAAAGTGGCCACTTTGAATAATGTGTTTTGATTTATATAAAGGAGAAGGCAGTCGACTTGTTACTGCATGCAGTTCTTACCTAATAGTAACCAAAGTACAAAATAAAATTCAAAATGTTAAATAAAGTACATTTTTGAAATTAAGATCAGTAAATTGACCAAAAGAAACCAAAAAGTGCATTTTTAAAAATAGAATTAGTGCAATAGTTAGGATTCCCGCTGATTCCTGCCACGATTTTAATTTCAACGTTTCCACTCAGGCCTAAGCTTTACATTGATGCCAAGTTTTTTTGCTAGAATTTGCTTTACTGCATGTAACAGGCATTTTAAATGCCCCATGTTCGTGTTTTTAATGAGCTGTACATGGTACTGTAGATGTATATACTTGTAAATAAATGTATTTACGTCTTCATATTTTCTTGCATTTTATTTTGAAAAAGGAATTGTATTGACTTAGTTTTGTAAACTGTTGCAACGATGCATTATGGCATTTGCTCTGAGGACTAATGCGAGGGCAGATCAACCCTGTCTTACGTACGATGTGGGGTCCAGGGCCCGCTAGGTTCCGAAAATTTTGAATTCTAGATGCTCTGTGGTGTATTCGGAGGGGATTCCTGGCCCCTTTTCCCCCGAGTTATTTGAGCAAAATAATATACTCTTGCATTTACAAGCCTTTTAAGTTTTTTCTGTTCTTCACTTGTATAACCAAATAGTTTCGTCTGCATAGTTATTTCCGTGCTTATTTTTGAAAAGGAATTGTATAGACTTAGTTTGTAAACTGTTGCTAGGATGCGTATAGGGCGTCTGCCCCAAAGACCAATGCGGAGTGCAAACGTCTTTCGGCATGGGGTCAGGGACCCGCTTGAGGGCTTCGGGAAATGTTGGATTCTAGATGCTCTGTGGTGCAATCTTAGGCAATTCCTGGCCCCTCTTCCTCAGAGTTATTTGAGTAAATTTTTTGAAGATTATAAGATTTTTTTTCACTGATTAAAATTTAAATATACTCTTGCTTTTACAGGCTTTGCAAGTTTCTTCTGTTCTTCACTTGATACCATGTATTTTCGTCTTCATGTTTTCGTGCATTATATTTTTGAAAAAGGAATTGTAAAAGCTTAGTTTGTAAACTGTTGCAAGGATGCTTTTTAATGTTTTGTTTCAAGTTGAAATTTTCAGTTTATCAACAAGGACAAACTGCTTGAACATGTGAATTGAATTCAAGTTTAAAATTAGTATAATTTAATCAAACTAAAACAGAGGAGCAATTAGGCCTCCATGCAGATTGTAACTTCACAGCTCAGTTTTATCTCATGACTACAGAAATTAATCACGCGGTCCTCCAAGTTTCTCTCTCTTTTTTGCATAATGTAAAATGCCCAAACATTTTAAATAAATGTTCTTTCAATTCAGTCCAGGTTTCAATTTCATGAATAGGGCCTATTACACGCACATCATGGCACATGTATTGTAAATAAACCATCGGCAGATCGGTGGCGCAGCAAGACAAATTGATGTGTGGTCATTACAGATAATAGACATCGGGTCTTTCGGCACCATGATTGCAATTTCCACATGGTACGATTTTGAAGGTGTATTCAGCGGCGGCAGAACGGGTTTGAAACTGGGGGGGGGGGGGCATCACCAAAAAGGGGCACTTGCTCAGCAGTTTTGCTGAAAGGGTGACACGTTTTTTTTACCGGACACTTGGCCTCCGAAATATCAAAGTGTGTGGGGGGGGGGGGGGGGGGGGGGATGGGGATGGTACCACCTTCCAACATAGGGGGCGCTCTTCAAAACCAATTATTATATGATAAGTATGCATTATGTGCTCATTTACAGGGCGTATTGTGGAAAATTGTTAATTTTAAAAAATAGTAAGATAATTTAAGATTTTTCTATTATCTTGATGGGCACTTTTATGCTAGAGGGGCACATTTATGCCAGCAAAAGGGGCACTTCGGAAAATCTTCGGCAAATGCCCCCCCAGCCCCCCCCCCGGTTCCGCCGCCCCTGGGTGTATTCGTCATTTTGTTATGTAAAAAAAAAAAGGAAATAATTGTTGATAAAGACATTGAGAAATAGACATCGAGAATTGGTGTATACCTCCCAGCCCGGCACGGATGCGCGCTGGCCCGCGTTCCAACGATCAAATTTACCTCGCTTGCACTTGAAAAAGTAACACACTGCGTTCCGTCTAGCTTGCAAGAGCATGTCTCAAGTGCTAAAACTTGCCTGTGGGCAATTAACTGCTGATTGTTTTTGTCCTAAGAACAAACACAGATCTCTTTTCAAGTACCAAACTTATCAGACTTGTACTTTCAGCAACCAGCGTAGTAACGTCAAAAAACCAACTTTTGGATCTCAACTTTCTTTGTTAAAAAAACATTTTAAGGACGGATCCATGACCTTCAGGGGTGTTTCAATTTTTTCAGGGTTTTACATCGTTTCTCGAATAAAGTCTTTACGAAAATTATATGATGACGTGACGTTGAAGAAGTCATTTTAAAAAAAGGACATGTTTTGGACTCCGTGAAAAAGTATAATTTGTAAATCAAAAGCACGTGGAAATGCTTGCAAATTGTTATTGATAAATACCTAAGACAGTTTACGCATTCATATTGGTCGAGAGCTCGTCACGTTGCCGGTCTTAAACGGATGATAAAGACATGGCTAGCTGGTCTTAAACACTTTTCCAGTGTCACAATAAAATGTGGACTCCTAAAAATCCAGTGCCTCTTATCGTTTCATTGGTTGAACGTTCACAATCCTCACGTAGGCATGCGCAACACTACCAGGGAGTCAGAATCATGGGCGTCGCGAGGGGGGGGGCAAGGGGGGCACTTGCCCCCCCCCCTGGAAAAGCAAAAAAAAAAAAAAAAAAAAAAAAAGGAAGAAAAAAGAAAGAAAAAGAGGCGCGAAGACAACGTTGTGTAAATTTAATGAGTTGGGGGGGGGCAAAATGTCCCTGCCCCCCTCTAAAACTGATAAATTGAGAATGTGTTGAGAAATACAAGCATTTTTTTGGCAAAATTTTTTTTTGCCCCCCTCTAGAAAAAATCCTGGCGACGCCCATGGTCAGAATTTTATAGTTCTAAATTCAAAACGCAACGCGCCAGGTGCATTCTGTGCGACATCGCGCAGAGCATGATACGCACGCGTCAATCTCCATAAAAGGGTTGTTTACATCTTACTCGCCAGCTGAACACTCCATTATTTTGCAAGAGGGATGTTTCAAAAAACATTAAGTGAATTTGTTGAACAAAATCGAGATGTTTTGAACGAATTATATGATTTTTTTTTTACCGAAAAGGTATTATGAATGGGAATAAATATGTGCTCTGTCGGTATTTATCACTCTGTTTAAGACCACTTAGAGTCTGGGTGCTGATAATTACCCTCGCCTCCGGCTCGGGTAATTATCAGCACCCAGACTCTAAGTGGTCTTAAACAGAGTGATAAAAACCTCCGGAGCACACATTTATTCCCTTATTAAACCACACCCTTGACCAATGGTGTGGTCCAAAGAGCAGTGCACAACGTGTGTTTGTCGCGCACAGCACATTTATAAGCTGCAAGTTCATGGAGAATAAATCGTACATACATGTAGGTTTGTATGAATCGCATTTAATAACAGCATATGCATGGTAATACGTACGTACCGGGTACGTACGATGGGATCGCGGTTTATTTCCAAGTTTCTCAAGTGGAGTACACAATGTTTGCAGCCGGCTGATATTTAAAATCGGTGCCGGTTTTGAAGTTTTTGTAAGGAGGTTCCCTCCTCCTTCCCTCCTTTTCTCTCATCTCTCCCGTTTTTTTCGGGGGCATTTGACGGGGGGCACGTGCCCCCATGCCCCCCCCCCCCCCCTGGATCCGCGCCTGGTCACCCTTACTGTTTAGTATCTTGATCGACTGGGTTTTGGTACAATCCCTAGATAAACCAAATGTAGGATTTACTCTCACACCCAGAAGGAGTAGCCGCTATCCTGCACAAATGCTCAGTGATCTAGACTTTGCTGATGATGTTGCCCTCTTAGATGATGATGAAGAGGGTCTCCAAACATCAACAAACACAGTAATCACATAGAGTAAAAAAGTGGAATTAAACATAAGCAAACCTAAAACCGAAGTGATGCCTGTTGCAAATAGCCCTATAACATCAGTATCACTGGATGGAGAGCAGTTTAGCACTGTCTCAAGCTTCCTGTACCTTGGTAGCTACATTTCAGGAGATGGCACAGTAGAAAAGGAAATGAAAGGATGGGCAAAGGAGCTGCATACAAGGACCCGGACAACATCTGGAAACAGAAGAATAGCTCCCTTCAGCAGAAGACATGCTTCTACAACTTTTGTGTGATATCCACACTTTTACATGGAGCTGAGACCTGGCCTCTTACAACCGGTCAAGAGAGAAGACTGGACTCTCTTGACCAAAGATGTCTGCGATGCATTCTTGGCATCATGTGGGAGGACAGCATCACAAACATAGAAGTCAGGGAAAGAACCAAACAACCAGCAGTCTCACAACATTGCTAGCAAAAAAGCAACTAACATGGTGGGGACATCTTATGAGGATGGAGCGGT